GGCTAATTCGTTTGATGAGCCCCATTTCCCAATATAAAAAATAATAGTTCAGATGAAAAATTCTTAACTAGAACTGCTCGGGGCCCATGGCATATTGCTGACTTGCCATACTGTAGTACACCACTGTTTACTGACATATCGTTTAATTTGTGGCGTTTCAAAGTGCTTGCATGTGGATCAATTTAAATAAATGCTTTGATTTTGTATTGGTTGGTGTTAAAAGCACCTTTACTCCTTTTAAAGGGCTAAAAGGGCTCTTCATCGTAACTTTACACATATAAAATCTTTTTTTGACATTGAATAACGTTTTATACATATGGGGGCTGGTTGTCCATATTGTTGTTTCTACTTAAATTCAGTTCTGTCGGATGTTTTCTTATTTAATCACTATTATCATATCTTTTTTGACAAGGCTCTTAAGGACTCCGTACGCTAACCTGCTATATTACAATTTGTATTCCAACCACTTCCCATAAGGTCCAAAATCCTCTATCAACAGTTAGGCTTGCCCAAACGCAGCGATATTGGACCACAGCGGCTAATTAGTAAAACTTGCGGCCGCCAGGTCACTGACCTTATGACAAGAATGCCAAGTGTACCGTAATGTTTTTTTTTAATGTTGATCAATTTGCTTGTAGCTGTCAGTAAGAATTATGAATTAACTTTTGTAACTAGTTAATTACTTTTTAATGATTTATGGTTTTTGTCTAGTCGCAAATTGGTGCTAATTTTGAGTCTGTAGTGGCTTTTTTAGACGTTTGTTCTGGCTAATCAAACATGTGTTCTCTTTTTAGGAACACATTGGAACTGAATTTTAAAACTCTTTTCTGACATAATAAACATTTTACCATTTATTTACTTAAGCTTTAGCTGTTATTGAAGATCTAACTTCTTAAAAGTTTTAGGCACCCTATAATTAAACAGTGAACTTAACGTCTTTTGATAAGCAATCGCCGTTGAGGATACACAACTAAAAAGTCATACGGATTACGATCATTAATCCATAAATACTTCTCTATTAATAAGCTACACTACATCTCTATCGAACAGCATTACTAATACATTATAATGCTTAAGCAATAAGGTTGAAAATGCCATAACAACAATAATATGTATATCCTATGTATCTTCCTATTAAGCAACTATTATATACAACGTCAATATAAAAGATAACACAATGATGTCAGTAGGGCAAAAAAATGAATATTCTCATTTAAAAGTATTTTATTTTATCTTTCTTCGGACCTTACCCAACTAGGTTAGGGTCAGTGTTGGTTGAGTGACACTTGAGTAACTTATGAGTGACTGTCATCAATGTCATCAGTTCTATACACATTCCCTGTTTAGGGGTGATTTTACGGTTTGAATTCATTTATTTCTAAAAGATTACAAATCACTTGTACAGAAATAAATACTTAAACTAATTTTACATTTTTTGATTTGTCCAGGAGTAACAAGAGGTTGTAATAGCGGTCACAATTTTAGAATTTTAACATTAACATAATAATTTATAACGACAAAGTAAGCAAATAAGTATTATGGAGGTATTCGTTAAAATATTTAATGACAAATATCTTACGGCCTACCGCCGTGTGCTGCATTGATGCGGCCCTCCGTGCGGTTCATTTGTAGGATCGGCTCACACTAGGCGAAAGCCATTATATTATAACATTGTTGACGAATCATTATTATCTATGTCAAGTTGATATTTATTTTCAAAATTGGCTACTACGCCATTGCCGTTTGGTCTAAAACTGGTTGTCATATTTACCTACGATTAGTTTAACAGTTTTTAGATAATATCAATTGTAATCTACTATACAAAACTGAATTGAAATGTAATCAGACTTAGAAAATTATCACGAACTTTTAGGGGAACTATATAAGTACTTGTATAGCTTTGAAAGGGGGCCATCTAGTGGAACCAAAACTCAGATCTAAGTGATTCACAATGTGTTTTTCTGCTTCACCGGTAGACGAGACGGATTTTGCATCTCCAGATTATTACAGTTCATGAATTAAATACTTGATATTAAGATAAGGAACTCACTTTTCCCTACGTCAAAATATGCAATATCGAAAGATATACGACTTCAGGCCGTCTAACATGAAAATGAAGTGCATGCAGCATTCTTCATTAGATTACGTCTAGACTTTCAGACGCCTGACTCAGCGACTGGCTAAATTCTTTGTATGAGACTAACTATCACAATAAGTCTCCAAGAGTTAACGACAATGCTGAAGATTTTTTCCTGGTTTAAGGGATGAAATTATGACTTTATTTAGCCGTTTGGTGAAACCAGAGACATGCTATCTCTCACCCGCCTGCTAGATGCGGAGGGAATGGCATAATGGCTTTGTATGTCGTATGAGGCCATCCAACAGTGGATCGTCATGACTTGCAGTTGTAGTTGTAGATGATTTTATGGACGAAGTAATAGAAAGACTTGGTAATATTATTGTTTTCCAATTAGTATGCTAAAGAAGCTATTGTTATCATTTGTGAAATGAAAATCTAATTAAGGTCAATGAGTCTACTTTTATTTGATCTCGATTTTCTATCGCTAGATTTTAAACTGTCAAACACCAAGCGGTCACCGGTGACCGCGACCTATTGTTCTTTAATTGTGTCTATAAAACCGGTACTCGACGAGTTAAACTGATTACTTTTCTAATCAGATCTCTCTTATATACTTATACCTACCTTATTATTTGTTAATCGTCAATTCATCACAATTGGGTAGTATCCAGGGTATCAAAATTAAAAATCTAATTAGTCCGTCAGTTAGATAATGAAAAAATAATAGATACGTATTTTTTTATTTTCTCGTATTAAGTTGCAATATCTAGATAAAATGGCGCTAAGTTTAGGAGTGGGAGGTCGTTACGTCATAACGTGCTATAAAATGTGGCACGCTGTGACGTCACACAATATTTTAAATTAATATATCGTCGGAAGTATTTATTTCGTGAGAAAAGAAAAATTAGTGTCTAAAGTTTTAAACTAATGTACCAGACGGACATTCAAATAAAATTTAGAAAACTACCCTATTATGTTATGAGTTCATAATTTTTGGTAAAGATTGAATAGTGGAAATATTAAATAACGTCAAAATTTTACACAACTACCGGACTAGCATTCTCTCTCACAGCTATTCTCCACGACATACATACATGTGGTACCATAATTGTTCTCGTTTTATCCCTTCTGAGTCATTGCAGATGATCTATGAAGAACCACAGCCGATTTACGCACTCACATAGGCCCGAAGAAGACTCGAGCTGTGAATAATAAGTCACCCATCCAACCAACTTCGGCTTAGTAACATAGTGTAGTGTAATGAACCATTATTCAGTATCTCAATTCTCTGGTGTCGCAAAAACAGGAAATCCAAAAATCCTGTCAATTGTCATTAATGTTGACAAACAGTATCTTTTTAGCGACAGACGGACACATGTTATTGTGTGTGTACATATTAGTAGCTTGCTGAGAACAATAGCAGACGTTTGAGTCAACCGTGTCGTGGACAGGGTTACGTACAAACTTGCAAAAATCTTACTTTTTTATTAGGTATATGTCTATGCTGATGAATTTGTTTGTTTGTTTATTTGAACGCGCTAATCTTTAGAACTACTGGTCCGATTTGAATAATTCTTTTTGTGTCGGATAGTGTATTTATCGACGAAGGTTATAGATATAAAACATCACGCTGTGATACCCAATAGGAATCGAGCAGAGCGGGTGAAACCTCGCCGGATTCGCTAGTATAGTATCTGATAAACGTGAACCTTTAGAATGGCGATTTTAACCTGCCGGCCAAGCCCTTGCATCTAGAGAAGGTTCATAGTAATACAATCCTGCAGTAGATTTATGTGCAATGGGTTATTGATAATGAAGAAGTCAAATATATATCAGACTGTATCTACTATATGTTACTATACCACATGACCTGTGAAAAAATGTCGCTTTTGTGCTATAGTAGCAAATAGAAACCGGATAAGACCAATTTAATCACAATCCTTACTTACAGATTATATTTCATTACCTTCCTTCACCTTTAAGTATCTGGTCAAGCATACTTTAAGCTTAAATCTCCATGAGACGTGTATAAAGTTCAAAGATAAAATTCAATTTGAAAGACCTGAAAATTATTCTTTAACGTCGCAAAACTTCGCCATCCCTAAGTGAGCGAAGTTGTCGCTTCCGCCAGCCTGTTCGTTCACCAGTCTGCTCATTTAAATCAATAAAACGTTGAACTTTTATTATTATGTGAAAAGGGGAGAACTTTCTACGCTTACTACCTACGTGCTGTATTTTTATACTAAAGTAGGTTCTTATTAGTTATTTAAGTGATTGAATATAAAGTTGATGTCGCCCATGGACATTTGGAACACCAGAGGCGTTACAAGTGCATTATTGGCCTTTTGGTTTTAATTGTGAGATTGGGAAGGGGGGGGGGGGGTAACTGGGCCTCCAGTAGCCTGTCGGTTTTCTGTGAGGCCGTGTATCACTCCGGTTAAGCCGTGCTGAAGCATGGCTCTCCGACAAGTAAAGAATTGGGCTTTAATCATTAATGTCTGTATCATTGCCAATATCATAAATGCAGAAATATGTTTTGTTTTCTTTATTTCGTTGTACAGAAGAAGCGATTATGGTATTTTCTAGTTTGGAAATGAAATGAGGTTCCGGATTCCGTAGTAGCACAGACAGCCATGGTAGCACCATCAATCTCGTTCCTAAAACCAATGATTACGTGCGCGTGCGAGACACAATTGTATTTCATAAAATAATATATTTAGTAATACCTATTAATGATTTTAAGATTTACTGAAAAGTATTTATTTTGCATACAGCATAATATATTATGCACCTACTCTAAAACCTTGGCCTCTGAACTCGTAACATGTTGATTTAAATAGTACGCAATAATAATTTAATCTTTTTCTGTAACTTATAGAATAACTGTATTTTCATACCAATAACAAAAATTCCTCTGTTAATTCTAGGCGAAAAGACTTAACGGCAATGCCGAGCTTGCTGCCATCAAGGTGATTAAGCTGGAGCCAGGCGATGACTTCGCCATCATCCAGCAGGAGATCCTGATGATGAAGGACTGCAGGCATCCGAACATCGTCGCGTATTACGGCTCCTATCTAAGAAGGGACAAGCTATGGATCTCGATGGAGTACTGTGGTGGTGGAAGTTTGCAGGTAAATAGATCCTTACTAATATTATAAATAGGAAAGTGAGTTTGTTTGTTTGTTCCGCTTTCACGCCGTAACTACTAAACCGATTGCTTTGAATTTTTGCAGATGTACAGTTAGAAGTCTGAATTAAATAATAGGGTTCTATTATTTAATCCAGACTTCTAATTCGAATTTTTCGGAAAAATTAGATATTCTCGAGGGAAAACAAAATTATTGGTATAGATAGCTCTGTGTATTCGTATGTGTCATATAGGCTACTTTTTATCCTTTTGTGACGCGAGCGAAGCCGTGGGTAAAAGCTAGTAACTTTTAAGTAAATCGTCGTTATCACTGCAGCGTGTGTCGACCTCACTTTTCCAAGCTAGTATTATTTTATGAACCTGCATAAGGCTGTGCATTGATAGTGTGATCTGTATTCTCAACTCATGTAACTACATTAATAAGCCGTTGAGTTTCCAAATAAATAAATAAAGTCAATATACGTGAGTAACTAGTAATTTTTGGTTAATTCATTAAGATTATGATAATACTGTAGATCTGGGTGTCATGTGTATGTCAACTTGTATGTTTGTAAACGCACCCACGACACAGGAGAAAATCCTAGTGCGGCGCAACGTATTTAGAAAAAACCATTTCGGTCGTGATGTCACATTCGTGACCAAGAATAATTTTCCCCCCACTTAAGTTCTTTTAAACATAGCTAAACTATGGTTTTATAATTACTAACGTGAGACCCAGTTTATTCACGTGAGTAACCCGCGATTTTTAGACTATATGCGATTCTATATCTAATCTTTTTGTATCTCCATTCCAGGACATATACCACGTGACGGGTCCTCTGACGGAGCTGCAGATCGCGTACATGTGCCGCGAGACGCTCACCGGCCTCTCCTACCTACACAGCATGGGGAAAATGCATCGGTGAGTTGACATACTATGTTTATTCAGTGATAGAGTCAACGGTTCTGTATTGATGTTTAATGTTCTGTCACATAAGTTAACGAGTATCAGTCATTAAGTACTGCTCTCTTGGTACATTATATCTTATTAACAAGCTGTATATCCACTGTTAGACTATTAATGAACCTCCTTGGCTTCTTAAGCCAGCTCTACACTCGCGGCGCGAACAGCGCACGACAGCACGTTAGTTGGCAACTAGTCAAATTCAATACTTTTATCGAAATGTCAAAAACGATACTTTTCTTTGAATTTTATATGAAAAACGTACTTATGACGTCAGCATATTTCTTAAAAATTAACTAGAAAAATTCATAAATATATTGTCAAATCAACGAATGAATGTAGGTTCCTCTGGTGTTGCGGGTGTCCATGGGCGGCACTGATCGCCTACCATCAGGTGATCCGTCTGCTCGTTTGCCTTCTATTCCATAAAAAAAAAAGTTGTGTACCGTACCTTTGTGTTATTATGTTTAACACAAAGTCAAGTACACAGCAGCAGCAGAAATCATGTCATCGTCCATCACGGCCGCGAACAAGACTGTGAAGCTTTTTGTATGTGTGTGGAGGGACCACTGTTCACGCGCGTATCATCTGCGTTATTCACGGTATGACGTCACACGCGAGTGTAGAGCCGGCTTAATAGGGGTTTGATAATCTCCACGGTGGGCAGGCGGGTCGAAGTGTAAACCCTAGTTTAAAAGTTCAACTGGGTTATAGAATTGAAGTAACTGAATATAACATTTTAAATCATTCTATTGCATATTTTTTTAAACGTTGCCCCACACTAAGATTTTCTTCTATGTCGTGGGTGTGTTTACAAACATATAAGTTCACATGCAAATCACACTCAGATCCGAAACAGCAATTTGTGGATCACACAAAGAGTTGCTTCGAGCAGTAATCGACCCGCTACATGTTGCGCGGCAGCCGGTTGCCCAGTCAATGTACATAGTATAAAACAAAGTTACTATCCGCCGTCTGTCTGTCCCTATGTATACTTAGATCTTTAAAACTACGCAACGGATTTTGATGCAGTTTTTTTTAAATAGATAGAGTGATTCTTAAGAAAGGTTTATATTTATAATACATGCATATTGCACCCATGCGAAGCCGGGGCGGGTCGCTAGTAGTAACTAATAGTAGATTTGTTTTAATTTTGTTATGTAGGTACCATGTTAATGGCTATTGTATTGTATTAGTCACAGTCGTAATAAACACGTAGTACTATACTCTATTATGTAATTATTGTATTAACAATAGCTGTAATGTGTTGCTGTATATATTTATTATCTTAATCGTCATTAAGGCGTATGTCGAGATGACCTATTAGTCCAGGACTGGGTAACCGGCCGGTTTATACCTCTGGTACATAAACCATGAAACCATTTGGACCATCCAGGGATTTTTTCAATAGTTTCGTTATGTTTTTATAATAATTATCGTGATACATACTAAATATATAAAAATCGCGGGTCACTCACGTGGATATACTGAGAAAAGCTCTACTAGTTAAATTCAAGCGCCAACGCCGCGCGACATCGCCGCGACCGCGCGCACAGTTTTGCCATTGAATAATTATTGGATTGAAATTGCATTGACATTGAGATTGGTTTCAAGAGTAAGCACCCTGGCCGTTCTTCTCCATTTGAAACTACACTTTGGAACGAGCGGTTAGCTTCACTGACGGACAGACGGACGAACAAATAAATTTTTGACGTTTCAAAAGTGTCTAATTAAGGATTAATTGAAATAAATGCTTTGAATTTGACCTAGTAATAACATAATTTTAATCCGTATAGTACGTTGTGTAACATATTTTAAACTGCATTGTTCTTAACGTGAATAAACTGAGAAAAGCTCTACTAGTTTCGAACCACAGAGGGGTTCTTCCTCATGTACAGCGCGCGCGGTCGCGGCGATGTCGCGCAGCCTATGTAGGCTAGTAGAGCTTTTCTCAGTATATTCACGTGAGGAACCCGCGATTTTTAGTTAAACTGTCAAACACCAAGCGGCCACCGGTGACCGCAACCTATTGTTCTTTAATTGTGTCTATAAAACGGTACTCGACGAGTTAATTTAGTAAGTATGTCTCACGATAGTTATTATAAAAACATGAATTGTTCTTATTACAGAGACATAAAAGGTGCGAATATCCTTTTGACGGAGTGCGGGGATGTGAAGCTGGCGGACTTCGGCGTGTCGGCGCAGATCACAGCCACCATCAACAAGAGGAAGTCTTTCATCGGAACTCCGTACTGGATGGCTCCTGAGGTACATACACTTTCCTCCAGGAACTAACGCTTATTATACCCTTAGTTTTTCTCGGAGTAGTCGGACAAGAATTTCACATAATTATGCACATACATAAAATTGTCCACGAAGTGTTATATTTACGGGTTTAAATTTTATTTGCTGTATTTGATGTTAACAATGAAAAGAAGTAAGAGCAAATTATTTTGTCAAGCATCATTGAGTTGAGTTGAGATTTTCATTTTTCTTTATCAAATCAGTAAAATAATTAACATAAAAAAAAATAAAAAAAGTAAGTAAATAAATAAACAAGTAATAATAAATAAGGTAAATAAGCAGTACTTCTGGACCCTGAGTCCTGACCACCGGTATCTTGGATTTCTCCCGTTACTGGTGGGCATTGGTGTAGTAGCATTTTTAAATGTTTTTTTTTTATAATCAAATATTTAAAAATGTGACGGCGCCGCCGTCATTATTGCAAGCAGTGAACAAACAACTGACCGACGTCACTTCAACCCCACCACCGAGTGATATATAAAGCAGCGCAAGCGCAAGCTCGAGGCGGTCGTTCGTCGATCGTTGCCCAGTTCACACGTTACGCAATCGCTGAGTAATTTTATTGTTGGTTTTATTTGAGTGTTTCCTTTATATAATCAGTGCTGAATTATTCAATTATTATAATTATAATTAAAAATTAATGTGAAAGTAAGTTCGAAATAAACTAAGTGATTGTGTGAAGCCCTTTGTTTTATTTTCAAATAATGTCGGACCCTGATCCTACATCAGAAGTGGGATGGACCGGGATTATTGAAAATGTTAAAATTATCGGAGCCGGTTCGTGAAGAACTACCTACATGCAAATGCGACGAAGAAGATAGTGCTGCAAGATTGGAAGTGCTTAGCTATACATAGCTAGCTATTCGGTAGTGAAGATTCCACGTGGCTAACGTTGAGGCAGCTACTTCGAACTGAATCGCTATCTGAAGCAGCAAATGAAGACATGACGTGGTCCCAATTCAAGCCGGAGTACATTGGCGACCAGTGACAGCGTAAGATACGCGGTGTTCACGCAGCGTTTGGTGAGCGGCGTGTTGATGTCTGCAATTGGACACTGCTTCCATCGGGATTATACCAGGTGACTTTGTTCCATTTATTATGATTCCGATACCATATGGGTCAAAAACGAGTCAAAGACTTGAGTTTACAATTGTTAGTTTTCCAATTTGAAATTTTATTTTATTTTTGTCGGGTAGTTATTTAAAGAAAATAGCTGTGATGTTTTAGATCCGAGATTATACATGGTCATTAGAATTACGTCTGATAGTGTTATTTTGTGTTGTGTATTGTTAGGTAATATCTCAAGTAGTCTTAGGCTTTCATTTGGTTGGAACTTGCGAGGTATGGTTTCCGCGAGGTAGATGCAGAATTAAGTGGTGCTTGCTGTCTAACGCGGTACAGACTATTGAGAAAAGTAGTTTATAACAAATAAAGGTCAAAAGCTGCTAATAATAATTGATAGTTGAAGAGTCCTCTAAAGTCCTACATTCATTTAGGATTATTGTTGGGTTGGAAAATAGTTAAAGCGCTAAGAAAACTCTGATGAGAAACATGCTTCCCTTGATCTTGCCATTAGGATTTATTATAATTAGGGCCTTTCAGTACCTAGTGAGTTAGTAATTGTAAGGGTAAAACTTTTCATTTATTCTACTATATCGTGTGTGCTAGTCATAGTCGTTACTGGGGCAGGGACTCGAGTCCATATAATGAAACTACAGTCGTGGCTGACTTGTGACTGGAATACTGGAGTGACTATCCACACTTGCGTAGTGTATAAATTGTGGTTACCTTGAAAATCTTGATGGCTGTTGATCATTTTTTTTATTTAAAGGACCTTGAGATATGTTTTCGCTAAGTGCGTTGTAGTGAGTAGATAGGCTGTTCGGTGGTTATTCCAGATGTAGTAAAGTCGGGTTTTGTCTAATAGAGAAAACGCGGAGTAACGAGACTCTGCATTTCATTATTATAATGCGTCTTACAAAAAATGTCTATCGCAGCGCCTATAAGTTACGTAAAATGTCGAGTAATTTAATTGTAACAGATGAAATTGACATACAGTAGATCTGAGGACTAAGGATGAGGAGAATATCTGATCACCAGGTTCTTTGAGAATTTTATAAAGTGTCAATGTCATGAGTTGCACTCAACACCTATAACTCACATACCCACACTTCATTTTTAATTTTTTTTTGGTGGATCGAACACATATGGAAAGATAAAGTGTTTAAAGAGACATCCGGCGTCAAGGATTTAAGACCAGCTCCTTGATCACTGGTTTGTTGCCTAGATAACTACACCCAGTTGTACGGTCTCTTCTTTGTGCCTTCAGGCTTAATTTATTCTGTCTCCTGCAGTAATATTCACCGAGGGAAGTGGAAACTATAGTTTTTTCTTCTTCTCCTCTTATAATATCTTCTGATTCACTTCGTTGCGGGAACCAAGACAGTTACTCATGTCCCTGGGACGCGCCGGACTTCAATGTTCCGGTGTTTTCATGGTTGTATCTACTGTAGATCCTGGCTTACAGGAGTTGCAGCGGTTTTGGGAGATTGTGGCGGGCTTGTCCCATCAAAAAAAAAAATACCCACACTTACATCATATTCACGCACTCGTACTCTCACCGCACCCATGAGGAACTTGTGGCTATGGGTCTTCACACACCAGACCGCATTCATGAGGATCATGTAGCGATGGGCCTGTGTGGTAAAGCGCCGTGTGGCAAACCGCCTGTGTGGCAATGCGTCTGATTGGTGAATTGCCTGGTTGGTAACTGGTCTGTGTGACGTTAGTTAGTATCGTATTGATTTTTATGCAGTTTCAGTTTGTAAGATTAAATGTTTGGTTATCTGTCAGATTATCTTGTCTCTGATTCGATCCTTTAGAGATACTCCGCAGATAGATGTTTCTTGTCTCTCTCGTTCACGTTCTCTTGTGTCCTGTAAGTTTCGCGTTAGAAAAGAGTAGCTGTGAGTTACTGGGCTATGCACAGCCGTGATCACTTGTAAAGTTTAAATGCTTTGGGTTGCTTGGTAGAATAATAATCTTGTGAGATTGTGAAACGTCAGTTTGTCTAAAAGTTTTCTGGTTATTGATGTTGCTACTGAAACGTCGTAACTTTTTAAACTTTTAACTGTAAACGTAATCCCAAAGTATAAAGGTCCCTACAAAATCTCTGATTTCTTAGAAAACGATAGGTACGAATTGAAACTCGTTAATGGTTCTAATCGAACGTACAAGGTCGCCCATGAGAACTTAAGCGAGGTACCCCGCGGTCCATTAGGTTTTATAGAAATAGCCGAAAGTTATGATGATGACGTGACGGCGGATGATAGCCAGAGTGATTTTGTCCATGAAACTGATCGCGGTTATAATATAGTGTGTGACATAGCTGTGATTGATGATGCTGAAGATGAACTCTCCGATAGCGACACTATATCTGTTAATAGCGACACTATATCTGTTAATAGCGACACTATATCTGTTAATAGCGACACTATATCTGTTAATAGCGACACTATATCTGTTAATAGCGACACTATATCTGTTAATAGCGACACTATATCTGTTAATAGCAGCACTGTATCGGCTAGTTCACGTACCTAGCGCTAGTAGTAATAGTATGGAAAGTCCATCATCAGATTTACCAGAGTGAATGAGTGTTGTAACTGATTACTTATTTATGAAATTAAAAAAAAAGAAGAAAAAAAAAGAAAGTAAAAAAAAAAAAAAAAAAAAATAAAGTAACAAAAAAATGTAGGAAAGAGTCATTGAAGGGAAAATCCGGTCCAATGACTCAGCTAAAGGGACTGATGTCCAGTCTAGCATACGCTAAAGGGACTGATGTCCAGTCTAGCATTCGCTAAAGGGACTGATGTCCGGTCTAGCATTCGCTAAAGGGACTGATGTCCAGTCTACCATTCGCTAAAGGGACTGATGTCCGGTCTAGCATACGCTAAAGGGACTGATGTCCAGTCTAGCATGCGCTAAAGGGATATTTATCCGGCCTAGCACAATCATCTCCAGTTCTAATACTGATGAGCGATGATAAGATAGTAGTTGTGGTAAGCTGAAGGGTTAACCGAACCCGCACAATATTGAAAGCTTTTGTTAAAGGTTATACTAGATAGAGATTAGAAATGTCAGGATGAACGAACGGGTTGTTATCTTATTCCCAGATGCTCGGAAAACGCTCGAGGACGAGCGTACGTCAGTATGGCCGTGACGGCGCCGCCGTCATTATTGCAAGCAGTGAACAAACAACTGACCGACGTCACTTCAACCCCACCACCGAGTGATATATAAAGCAGCGCAAGCGCAAGCTCGAGGCGGTCGTTCGTCGATCGTTGCCCAGTTCACACGTTACGCAATCGCTGAGTAATTTTATTGTTGGTTTTATTTGAGTGTTTCCTTTATATAATCAGTGCTGAATTATTCAATTATTATAATTAAAAATTAATGTGAAAGTAAGTTCGAAATAAACTAAGTGATTGTGTGAAGCCCTTTGTTTTATTTTCAAATAATGTCGGACCCTGATCCTACAAATGTATAAATCAAGTGTATAAATAAATAAAGGAGGTAAATAAAACAAGGTTTCACTAAAAAACCAACAAACAGGTTTCTTACTAATAAAAAAACTTGTGTAATAATAATTATTATTTTTGTTTCTAGGTGGCAGCAGTGGAACGCAAGGGTGGTTACAACCAGCTCTGTGATATTTGGGCTTGTGGGATCACTGCCATTGGTAAGTTCAAGATATCTCTTAAAATAACTGTGTGATTAGACACAGTCATAATCACACAGTTATTTTAAGTTAAAGGTTTTTTTTGCCAAATATTGTACATCTATATTATTTAGATCTTTATAAAAAAAATTGTATTTTATTTACAACACTGCTATTCTTTACAGAGTTAGCAGAGCTTCAACCACCGATGTTCGAGCTACACCCCATGCGAGTACTCTTCCTCATGTCCAAGTCGGGATTCAAACCCCCCTCCCTCAAGGAGCGAGAGCGCTGGTCTGCCGTCTTCCACTCCTTCCTCAAACTAGCACTCACCAAGAATCCCAAGAAACGACCCACAGCTGATAAATTATTACAGGTAACTAAAAAAACTACAGATAGTATTAAATGTCATCTGTCATATTGACAGATGTCACTTTTGACAGACGTCAAACTAATGATACTGTAATTGTTCAATCATTTTCGTGCCGAAAATAGCTTAATACGTTATGCTTAGGAAATCAAAGTAAATCTATATGCTCGTCTGATATAGTCATCCCCATACATAAACATAATTGAATACAATATTTCTTGTTCCAGCACGCATTCTTCCAGCAAGACATGAGCAAGCGTCTTGCAATAGAGCTCCTGCACAAGTACTCCAACCCGCCCAGCCACTGCAATAACGAGCCGGACGAGGATACTGTACGTATACCCAGATTTTATTATTATTGATCTGAGAGTTAAGGCCTAGGCCCATTTAAGTACCCGGTAAACTTATGTGGCAGATAGTTCATATAGATTTCGTTCTATTTTCTAATTTATTTCGTACTTTTAAGTGAAACTCAATAGTTCAATACTACTAAAAATTTATTCTAAACCATCTTTACAAGAAACAGCATAGTGCTTGTTCAAAACTTCCAACCCGAATGGACTGTACAACTGTTTACGCGGGATTCTTTACTAATCTGTCATATCTGACAGATGACAATATCAACATGACAGCTAGTAATGTCGATAACACAGATTAAACTAGTGACGTTCATTTAGTTGATTGTACATTGTGTTGTGAAACAGGCCTTTAGTAGAGTTATGGATGTATAGGTACTATTTAATAAGTTCGAAAGTACTTTACATATATCATGGATCAGGAATTTGAGAGGACTTTTTGGCACTAAGTAGCGTTTTGTATCTTGTGCCTTTAAACAAACTTTAGCGTTTGTCTACAGAGAGGATAGAAAACTAAATGTATGGGGATGACACTGACAAGTGTCAAAATTTACGTCAATTCGTAATATAATTAGGTTTTCTATTCTACATGTAAACAAGCACTAAATGGCATTGGGCTACAGCTGCTGAATTGACAATTGTACCAACAAGACAGTTGAAAAACAAACTTGAAAGAAATAATAATAATAAAGACAAGATACAAAACAATACATAAAGTTGTAACATAGATTGTGTTTCCTCAGGCGATGTCGAACATGCCCGCCCGCATCGCGTCCCGCCACACGGGGCGCGGCGCGCGGCGCGTGCTGGGCGGGGAGCCCGCCAAGCACGCGCGCCCGCGCTCGCTGCTCACTGACGCTCGCGACGTCCCTGCCCTGCACGACCTCCCTCCCCTGCACGACCTGCCCTCCCTGCACGACCACGACCCCGCCCACCGACGATCAGGACTCTACGACGATTCTCCAATAGTGGATCTGGATGCTGATGATGATTTGAGCGTTAATTCCATGCCGAAGGTCATTAACTTCAGTGCGGAGGTCAACAGGAGTTGTGATGGAGATACTGTTAAGAGGAATGGTGAGTGGTTTTCTTTAATATATTTATACCATTTCAGTCTCAAAAATGACTTAAATAACCCTATAGTATCAGGCTAAGAAAATGATTTGTTTTATCGTTAAACTTACCATACATAAACGATGCAATAAAATGAAAATTGCTTGAAAAATATTGTTACTCGATTAGTTTCGACTTCGAGCCACGCCAAGGACTCATAGTCATGAGCACAACCTTGGCGAGCTATGTGCTTAATTTCATGTCTCCCGATAGCTATAACAAAAATGATCTCTAGTATGTATACTACGAGTACGACATTATTTTGTTTTCTGTCTATAAAAGAGTGTTGTTATAAATATAAACATTTTACGTTGTAACTATTAAATCATATGACTCAAAATTAATATGTAGCTAAGGGACATAAGAGATAAATAACGGAAATAATCTCCTCCAATTTTTTTTTTTTTTTAAAAACGTTGCCCCACACTAGGATTTTCTCCTGTGTCGTGGGTGCGTTTACAAACATACAAGTTCACATACACAATGACACCCAGACCCGAAACAACAATTTGTGGATCACACAAAGTGTTGTTCCGTGCGGGAATCGAACCCGCGACACGTTGCACGGCAGCCGGTTGCCCAGCCACCGCACCAACCATGCAGTCAAAATTTGAAAGTTGGTTATAATATACGGCCATTAATTTACCATTTATATCTATTAACAGCGTACCACAGACAATCTAGTGAAGACTGGAGCGTAGCTTCACTGATGACTTGTCCTAAACACAACCCATTAACACAAGATCTAGCCACCGACACGATGCCATCTAGCGAAAAGTAAGTGTAACTACAGTTTTTATTACATTTAGCACACTTTTTTGTTACTTTCCTCGCTTATATTTTTTTGGTTTTATATATTATTTTTTATTTTATTTTATATTAGTGTTCTATCGAAAGTTAGTTTTTAGCCGAAACCGAGGTTGAATGTTCGGCTTTGCCATACTAGATGATTATTTTAAATGCTAGTTGAATAGAAGAGATACTCAAATGTCGAGTATTGACATTAAAATGCGACAAATTCGTCTTGTTGTAAGCTGTTATCAATGCCATATATTATCTTTTGTACTCTATTCGGCTAGTATTCCTCTTATCTGTTGAAACACCGGCATAAAACACATTATGGCCGCAACTTTTAACAGACAAGAGGTTACACCATTTATCTGGCGAGCCTGGTTTCGACCGAAAATACTATAAATGTAAATAAAAATATCTTTCAATCGTGTTTACTTACAAATTTATATGTGTAACAAAATACTTTAATTTTCATAGGTTCCGGTTTCGGCCGAAACTAAACTGAGGCCGAATACTCAATCTCCGGTTTCGGCCTAAAACAAAATTTCGGTAGCACACTAACGTTTATATATTATTTTATAGCAAGTGGTGTCGGGCGATCACAGGGGATGATATTATGAGAATGAGTTTAAGGTACCTTCAATTGATTTGGCAAATTAAAAAAAAATAATAAAAAAAAATCGATTTTTTGACGAAACTTTTTTCTATCTCTTACCTAACTGTTAGGGATTTTCCGTGTGCTAATTAATTTTTGATTTTTAGTGGTGAAGGGTTTCTTCTGTTTTTTTTTTAAAGTTTTGAGTTTATTTTTCGTTTAAAAAAGAATATATTGTTTTTTTGAGTGTTGTGTGAGTGCACAAAATGATAGAATAGTTACACCTTTGTCTATGAGCATGTTTGGCGATGGTTTTTCTGTTTGGCTTTTGGTTTATCTATGGGGAGCTATTATTGTCTATGATATTATACTGAGGTAAGAAATTTTCGCTGTTTCCGGAGCTCTGTTGTGGCCTTCAGTGTGTTATGGAATATATAATTTTAAGGTCTAAAGATGCTATAGCTGATATTTAATAAGTTAATAGATTTTCATAATATTTAATCCTTTTATTTGTCTAGCATTAACATGTTATCATATAACTTGTTTATATCATTGGATCTGAAGCACTATAAAAGGAAGAAACATTTACCGTTTATCCAAAATATTGCTTTGCAACTTTAGACCTTCTGGACTGTAATATTACGTCCTTATTTATAACAGCCAACAGTAAACGATCGCAATATTGGATACAAGCAGAATATAAAAAAAAAAAAAAATGTTCAGAAATTAAACTATAACAACGAGGCAAACGTTCGTACATTTTTGAAAAGAGCATCATGGTGCTAAAACTTATCGTAAAATGAGGCCATTATATGTCATGTCATGACTAAGGTTACCATTATATATCACAAAAGTTTTATCTCACTAAAAAGGTTTAATTGACAATAAATTGAATTCAACGAATAACTAAATTTATCAAGTAGTATTTTACGGTTAATTTTATAACAGACAACCCTATCTCAAATGCCTCTGGTCAATATTTTAAATATGGTAAATACTTATAATAATGACAACCCTAATCATGACATGACATGACTATGCATTATCTCGTCAGCCTGTAAGACAAACTCGTCATGACGTCACAACTAGAAATGACGTCACTAGTATTGAAGTGAGTATCATCTGTAAGTTGTCTCTCTTGTTTTAGGAGCCTCTTGCAATATATCGATGAAGAGTTAATGCTCAGGTAAACGGTCAGGTTTTCAGTTTGCATGTAAATACATACAAAAATATATGTAATTATGTGTGTTTTTGTGTCGTTAGTAGCTTTGGTTGCTGTTCGGAATTTTAAGTTTAACATAATATGACAATTGTTGATTTAAACACGTAATGTTTATATTTACTTTATTTATTATTCGCATTGTATAGTATATTATTATTATTTGATGTTATTCACTCAAATGGTATGGTAGTAAACTGTGGTTTAAATATCGCGATAGCCAGTTTTTATTATTATGTTTTTCGGCATACACGTAATTATATTATTTGACAAGGAACTCAAGCTATGATAGAGGCTCATATTCTTGAACAGCATTTCGCGACTCTTGACGCGGCGACTGTCGCGCTGCTACTAGTCGAAATAAACCGAAAAACATAATAATTAATAAAGTATGTCTCATGAAAGTTATAATATAAATGTCGCCAGTTTTGTTTTTATAATAACTATCGCGAGTCTTACTAAATTAACTAAAATCGCGTGTTACGCACGTGAGTATACCGAGAAAAGTAGAAACTAGTAGAGCTTTTCTCAGTATATTCACGTGAAAACCCGCGGTTTTTAGTTAATCGCCAGTTTTGTTACGGGTCCCTTGTAGTACCTATAGACCCTATAGTGGATTAATGCTAAAACGGGGCATTGGTTTCACTTCATAACTCTGTGCTAACATTTGATAATACCTTGGGATAACTGCCAATATCGTAAGGGACTATATACTATCAGGTATTATACAAATGCAAATAATAAATAAAGTATAAATAAAATTAACTTTGAAATATAAAAAGTATTCCGAACAGCGTGGCCTGTAGACATAGTTTAGTTTGGATCTATGTGTAAATTAGTCATGAAATATTCAAATAAAAATACTGAACGATTCATTGAAGAAGTTTTACAGACTTTTTATGGTTATATTTTAAGCTTATTGTTTGTCAAAGGTTTAAGAAACAGTATATTCATAAAGTGCTACTACTTGAATGGTGAATTTGGTCGGTGCCATATACATCAGTCAGTCAGTAATTTTGCAGCAAAATATGGACATGACTTAAGTTACAAATGGTATAAAATCCTACAAAAAGCAGCGTTAGAAAATCAAACAAAACGTCCTCTTTCCTAATATTTGTGCTACCTACATAAAAAGTCTGTATTGAAAATAAAATAAATAACTAAAATAATAAATATTGCAAAATGCGTCTCGCATAGTTATTTGGTGTAGTCGTAGCATGAAGCATGTTCCATGAATTAAAAGCTTTCGCAGCTTAAATATAATACGAAATAAACAGAAAAACAATAACGTAAATACCTCATAAACTATTTTTGGTCCTCACAACATTTTTAATTAAAAAGTACGGTTTATATCCCACCAGCACCACTTGTTATTCTAACACAAATTAAATTAAATAGCTTGTCGACGTGACACTACTAAGTCCCCTCCCACATTTGTGTCTAACCGCACTTGAAATAGCTTCAGAACAAAACCTAACCGCACTGCGACCACCCCCAAAAAAGCTACTAAAAACTCCCAAAAAATTCTACCAAAATGGTAATTTTCCCAATCTTATTTCCAGGGCAACACTACCGTTAACAGCGGAAACCGCGAACATGGCGCAGGGTGGCAACACCGCGCTATCGATGCACGACCAACACTTGTCTCAATGCATACAGTTAAAACAAAACTTTTTGAACAATTCTACCGCGAATATTTATCAAAATCTCACGTCTTCTTACCAGACTCCTATAGGTGCTTCTAGGGTCTCCATCGACGATCCTCTCTGCAGGAAGATAGGAGAGGATATAATGTACGTGGATCAACAGGAAAACGACCATTTGGACTTGCAAAGGAATGCTAACTGTGAATGTGGACTATGCCCTAAACCTGAACCTAGGGACAACAACACACTCAGCGACCTTCAAAGATCCGTGGCAAAGTGTTCCTGCGACGTATGCAACTCCAACGGCGACATACTAAGCTACTACAGAAACTGCTCCAACCAAAACACAGACTCCGGCATAGTTTACTGCGAAAATTGTAAAAAACAAAAAATATCCGTGTCCAACTTCAGAGCTTTACAAATCGCGAATAGGTTAAGAATATCAGAGGATGATAAATTACAGAATGGTTCTACGGACGACGATTTATGTAGGAAAATCGACATGAGTCTAAATATGGAAGACAAAGTATTTGAACATAGGAAAAAGCATAACAGACATCATTCAGATTCTGTCACAGCTGGCATAGATTTAAATCAATTCTGTCAATGCGAACTAGAGGTTAAAAGGAAAACGTCATCTGTCGATGAGATTTTCAAAATGGTGGATGAAAATGGACGGGACGTGAAGACGGAAGCCATTGATGAAGAGAGTAAGACTACGCAGAGACAAAGGAGTTTGTCTGATAGCCAGCGAGATAAAGCCAAGGTTGATAATAAGGGTGAGTTGACTACAATAAATATTAAGCTTTCAGATTAGAGGTAATCGGTATTGAACGTGTCTGAATGGTGATAGATATGCGTACTGAAACTCTATTACAATTTTTAATGACTTAAGATTTTTACCAAGTAGGTATCCATTCTACAATATTGTTATGGGAGTTTTGGAATCATAAATAGCTTTCTGATGACAAAAAAATTTAAACTCCAGTCTAAGTCTCAGAGTCTATTCGTTATTAACCACATATAAAAAACACATTATTCTTTATAATATCAATAGTGATTGTTATTAAGTTATCATAATTCCCCCCAGTGGCAGGTGAGAGTGGAACTCCTCCAGTGCCCCCAAGACGGGCGAGGTCACGACGGACACATACACCGCCTCGTGCGGCCCCTAACGGTCTGCCACCTACGCCCAAAGTGCATATGGGAGCTTGCTTCTCTAAGGTAAGTAATAACACGAACAACTTTTTACGTGTAAAATGTACTTTATTATGTTCAAGAAAGAGAAAGGATTTCTAGGTGTTTATAATATAATTGAGTTCAGCATTTACAAGTGTGGAAGATTTAACAAACATACTTGTTTATTAGTTAAGTATTCATATGTGTTAAGTATTCGTACATTCGAAAATTTCATAGTAATGTCTACCATATTTCAGTGCATTAGTGATCAAGTGTTAACAGGGTTTTGTTGACTTCATGTATGCTTACATCTTTGTCGCAGTCGGGATCACAACGTCACTTTACTGATGTCGACCGACATCTGAGGACTTAGACCGAGTTCTTTTTTGTTAACATGATCGAAAGGTTACCGCGTTTAGCTCTCTCATTGGTTGGTTAATTGAAACTTGCCAATTAGGCGTCGTAAAAAGGGTCGTATAGTAATACAAACTCGCACTAAGCCCTTTGGAGATAATGTCGAACTATATGTAAATCCAGTTCGATTGACTTGTAACTTCTCCACCCCCAGAAAATAGGCAAAGGACGCTGGGTGTGGAAGAATGAAACTTTCACCGAGGAATACCTCGAGATGTTTGCAATCATGGAGTCGTGGGTGACGGCATCTGGAGGCACGTACAAAAGACAGAAGCCTCGAAGAGTTAGGGAGTATGTAAAGGATTATCCTTGCTGGTGGAGTGATGAAATCGAGGAATTACATATAGCCAGTTTTACGAGTCGTCGTAAGCTACAGCGCTACCGTCGACGAAGGCTGAATAAGGATCCTGATGAAGAAGCTGTATTGTTAGAAGCATATCGCACGGCGAGGCGGAATTATAAACTTGTTGCAAATGAATCCAAAGCACGCGTCAGAGCTGAAGATGTTGAACATTGTTGTTGTTGAAGACTATTAAAATTAGCGTTGGTCCGCGAAATACGTCCTGAGGAACTCCTATCCTTGAAGGGTTTTCTTCAGCTCTTGTCTCATTTCTGACGAGTTTACTGCTTTCAGTTACAATTTTATTAGTTATTAATAGTGCCATCTATCTAGATTTGTTGATTGAAATTTAAATGTTTTGTTGTTTGATAATTGATATAAACTTAGCGTTGGTCCACGAACTGCGCCCTGAGGAATTCCTCTTTATGGAGGGTTTTCTTCAACTTTTGATCTGTTAAGGATACTGCTCTCAGTTAAAATTGTTCTATTAGTGATTAGTTATTCATAAAGCCATCTATTTTGCTTGCTTCATAAGAACTAAGTGATTATTTTGTATTAAGATTTTTTATAAAAAAACCTTCAATTACAATTATTCCATATAGTACTTGTCAAAAAATTAATGACATTTCTCTTGTTGCTTAAGAATTAAGTGATTGTTGTATTAAGTTTACGTTTCCTTTCATTAAATAAATAAAGATTTTCCACTTATTTGTGATTAACTATTTTTTTTTCATTTTTATTAAAATAATATTCAGTTTTGGAACCGACTAACCATAGCAATTAGCAATATTAATGTTAGTAAAGAGGATCATTATTTCACGGCGATTCAGGATCTATCTTAGATATATCTTAACACCGCGATTCAGGAAATACATAGATTTGTACAACGCCATCTATCGAGCACACGTAATAATGTGATATTGAACACTACCTTAAATTCTTCTAAATTTTCATTAGATTGATTTATCGGTATATCAAGTAGAAGAAGTCCACTACTGAACATTAGCCAGTTTATAAAATAAACTGTGTGTTAGAGGTAGGATTTAGCATTATTTATTTGTATATTAAAGAATATTTATTTATAAAAATGTAAACACTATAATAATTATGAATATATGCGTTCCAGGTGTTCAACGGATGCCCGCTGAGGATCAACTGCACAGCTTCCTGGATACATCCCGACACGAGAGATCAACACATACTTATTGGTAAGGTTTTTTTATGATATTTTATGGTAAACCAGCAGACTGATGTAAGCAATCGTCGTCGCCATTGGACACCCGGAACACCAGATTCGTAACAAGTGCATTACCGGATAGATAGGATTGTTGGGATTCAGGGATTAGGGAGCTTGGGAGGGTGGGGGGAGGGTAATTGGGCCTCCCTTAACCGTACTCACACGACGAAACACAACGCAAGCGTTGTATCACGACTGTCTTCTGTAAGGCCGTGGTATGACTACGATCGACGGACCCATTCGTACCGCAGGAGAGCTCTCCCACACTTAATTACTACTACAGTTTACTACAAAACTTCCATTATTTTGAGACATGGCAGTCTATCAAATGCATGAATTCTTTTAAATTGTAGTGTAGTTTCAACTATAATAATATTATTATCGCGCTATTGGTGGAGTGGTTCGATTCCCGCAAGAAACAACTCTTCGTTTGTGTGATTCAGAAATTGTGCCGCGTCTGGGTGTGATTTGTGTGTGAATTTGTATGTTTGTAAACGCATCTACGACACAGGAGAAAATACAGGCGAGATGATGGTCCAATGTCGATCTATCAAGTTTAAAAAAAATCCTAACATGGGGCAAAGTATTTTTTGAAATGATCATTAATAAAATTGTTCAAATCTATAATGTGAACCCATGCTATAGCGTAACTATAAAGTTTGGGGCCAAATTCACTGGATTCCCTTGAATAGTTCGTATGAGAATCTCTGACCTGCGCCCCACTCCCGGCCCAGTAACGCCACTGCCTCTGCCTATCCCTTGAAAATGGAACATTAATTTGGTGTTGTGTAGGTGCGGAAGAAGGTATCTACACGTTGAACCTAAACGAGCTGCACGAGACGGCCATGGACCAGCTCTGTCCGCGGCGGACTATATGGATGCATGTCATCAAAGATGTCCTCATGTCACTCTCAGGTGAATATACACATGTTTTTTTAAAAAACAAATTTATTTAGAGGAATTTTACATAGGTGTGTCCTTAAATCTAAACTCGCCGAACTTTAATGTTTGATGGTATGAGACGCTCATTAAACAATTTCAATTATAATATGTAGGTATTGTAAATATTCGTCTAGTATAGCTTTTGACAGTAAATTCAGCATAATACGGTTGGTTTAATTTGTTCTAGTAAAAATAATTTGTCTTTGTATTCAATCTCTAATTGAGCTAAATCTTATCAAATCTGGTTTAGTGGTTAATGTGAAACATACTTTCATTGTTACTTTCCTAATTTAAGTAAGGAGTAAAATGTGATTATTAAACGTTAAATCCAGTATTCTACAACAAGATCGGCAAGACCTTTATCACGAAAAATGACTATGTGTCATATTTGTAGTGGTTTATAATAAAAACCCCCCACGTAATCCGTGTACTGTGTCCAGGCAAGACCCCGTGCCTGTACCGGCACGAGTTGCTGGCGCTGCTGTCGGGCGCGCGCGGCCGCAGTCTGCGCGTGTTGCCGCCGCGACTACTGCCGCGACGGTTCGCGCTCACCACGAGGGTGCCTGACACCCGGGGTACGGACACTTGATACACTTCTCTATTGTTGCACTTCTATACAGTTCAAATACTCTCAAACTATTAAAACACTGTTCTTTTATAAACTACGTTTAAAAAAAAACAGACTTCAAAACCCCCTTCTTTTTAATGTCGATTAATTAATATTCTAAAACCTCCTAAGCGCCGGTTTTTCAATCATTAGTTAATTTTTAACTATACAATAAAATTGACACTTGACAGTTTTACTTTGGAAGAATTGTCAAATATTCAAAGTTATTCCTCAACTAGAATTTATCTGAGCATTGAAAATTGGCCCTAATGCCCGAAACTTTACTCACTACAACCTATTCACTCGGGCCTTGAAGACTCCCAGGTTATACCCTTCAGGAAATACAGTCTCTGGCAAAGAATTCCACTCTTTAGCAGTACGCACAAGGAAGCTTGAAGCGAAGCGCTTCGTGCGTGTGGGCGGAACATCTACCATGAATCGATGACGCTTCGCCGATTGTCTTGTGGTACGATGATGGAAAGGACTAGGACTAAACGTTACTCAATTTTAAGTCACGCCTAAGTATAGTTCTGTCTTTACTATTTCTTTGTAAAATGACAGAGATGGCACGATATTTAAGCACGACTTAAAATTGACTAACGTTTCAGTATTCTAACGGCATAAGTCTAACAAACATTTTTCTAAAAACTTCATCAAAATCGATTTAGCCAATTGCGAGATAACCGCGCACAAACATATACAACATGTAACTTAAATAACGCCCCTCCTGAAAATAGTTTGTTCAGAATCGTTAACTGAATCGATTTATATAATTTTTAGTATAGGTAATTTTTTATCCCAAAAATAATTAAAAGTACAGAAATTATTGTCATATGGGATATTATAAATTGCATATCAAATAAATAATCGCCTATCAATACATACTCATCATTTATATTCCTTTTTACATCAAATAACTTACTTCATTACAAACAAATGAAATGTTCTACAAAACTCAAACTGCAGATAATTCGAAATTATACATCAATACGACAATCCTTTTTTCCTTATAATGCAATACGGTTATATTTGTTTTTGTACAAAAATACTACATACATAGCATAAATACTGACTGCACAGCAATTTTGGGCACCCCGAAACATTTGGTTAGGTTAGGTTAGAACTGCGACCCTCACAAGGCGCGAGGCGAGCGAGCGTAGCGAGCGGTGCCGCGGTAGCGGCCGCCGAGTGTTATATCACTAACTGCTTTTCAAATCTTTTCATACCATTTAGCCGTTTATATTAAAAATATTAGTTTAAAAAAATAAGTGAATTTAAAATGCTGCTTTATTTAGAAAAACTGTTGTAAATAATTTAAAAATAGAAGCTATATTTAAAAGAAAAATAGTTTACCTATATAATGTGCATTAAGATTATTAGCTGTGCATTAATGAAAGCTTTTGCTTTAGGCAAAATCGTTGTACGCTGCGAAAATAAATTGTAGTGTGTTTAGTAATATTTTGAGTTAAATATTTTGCTGTGCAATCAGTAATTTTGATGGGAATTCGGAATCTTATTGCAAAGAAAAAGGATGTTTTTTGATATTCGTTTAAATACATACTACCCTTGTCATATTAACCCTGTATTGTTAAAACAAATCGAAATGGACCGTAAATCGAAGCAATAAGACTATTAAAATCGCAGTTTTATTTGTATTCATACAAATTCTATCATTCAATACAAAATAAAGAGAAATAGACCTTATGACAAAACCAGTAAGGATGCATTACATATTAAATTAAAAATTTACTGTATGTATTATGATTATAACATAATATTCTAATTGGGGTGTTTGAGGGTGAGCGTTAATTACGTTACATGTTTTATACATACATACTGCTAAGGACTGGAATTCTTTGCCATAGTCTGTATTCCCTGAAGAGTATAACCTGGGTGTCTTTAAGGCCCGATTGAATAGGTTGCTTATGTGACGACGTGCTCCATCGTTGACCGCATTATCGCTTACTACCAGGCGAGATAGTGGGCAAACGTCGGCTCAACAAATATAAAAAAAAAATGCTATTTTGAAGACTGCACGGTTGGCGCGGTGGCTGGGCCAACAACAACTCTTTGTATGATCCACAGATTGTTGTTCCGGGTCTGGGTGTCATGTGTATGTAATATTGTGTTTTTAAACACCCACGATACAGAAGAAAATCCTAGTGTAGGGCATAAAAAATTAGAAATGTTTCACCAATGAACCGTCAAATGTGGTGTATTGCAGGTTGCATGCGCTGCGCAGTGGCCCGCAACCCGTACAACGGGTACAAGTACCTGTGCGGGGCCACCCCCGCCGGACTCTTCCTCATGCAGTGGTACGACCCGCTACGCAAGTTCATGTTGCTCAAGGTAATATATTATATTCATATTACTATTAAATAAAGAACCATCATCATCAACAGCCTATAAATGCCCACTGCTGAGCAAAGCCTCTTCTCACACGGAGAATGTTTGAGTGTTTAAGCATCAATCACCACGCCTGGCTCAATGCGGGTTGGCGATTACAAAATTATAATTAGAAATTATAAGCTCAGGTTTCCTTACGATGTTTTCCTTCACCGTTTGTCAGTGGTGTCTAGATAATCTTAGAAAGTACATATAACTCGGAAAAAGTCATATTGGTACTTGCCGATGATAGGTTTCGAACCCGTTCCCTCATGCACGAGAAGCGGGCGTCTTAAACCTCCGGGCCACCACGACACAAATATAGAACCATGCAAACAACGAAACAGTGAAATCCATGTATCTACTTGATACAACCATGAAAACACAGAAAAAATGAAGTCTGATGCGTCCCAGGGATAATAATAACTGTCTTAGATTCCGCAAATAAATAAGTATCAGAAGTCGTTTAAAAATATGTTATTTTTTGTCAACTAATTACACTTTTAATTAAACTTTTATTTGCAAATAATATAAACTGTAATAAATAAATACTAATGTCAGTAGACGTCGCGGCAGGGTAGGGAGGCCTTTGCCCTGCAGTGGGACGATCATGGCTGAAAATAAATAAATACTAACTATAAAATATACATTTATAAATATAAATGTATATAAGATATTTCTGGATTAGGACGACACAGTCAGTTAAACACAATTGAGTTTCTCTGTAAGAAAAGATTTATTGTTTATAAAATATGAAAATTTAACAAATATGTGTGATAACTTATTAAGTTTCAAACTATTACAAACCTGTAAGAAAAGAAACGACATTTAATGTTATTATTAACAATGCCAGTTCCTAATCACAATTACCTCTATAATACTTAATTAATGAAATTAATAACCAATTTATTGTTCTTCTCAACAAATACTAATTCTAGGATATTTTATTTAAATAGACAGATGACATATAAACGTCATCTGTTAGATCACATTCAAATAAAGAAATTTATATTATTTCTTTACATCTCCCCCCGTAAAGAAGATAGACGAAGATGTAATATGTACATGTATCTATAGTTCTCAATCGTATGCAGGGGCTGGTGTTAGCTTTGAAATGTGGAATAAATTGGATTCTGATCTCTTATGGTCAGTGTTTATCCTAAAAATTGAGTTGGAAATTTTTTCTATGATTTTGTACGGTCCGATTTTCAATTCATCAAGCTTCTTCCGATTCAGTTTATTTCCATTCTCCACAAAAACAGTGTCACCAACTTTGAAGTCGATGTGTCTTCTATTTTTATCGTAAATTATCTTATTATAATTGTGCGATTTGATGGTATTTTCCAGAGCTTTTTCCCTAGCTTGGATTAAATTATGGTTTACCTTGTTTTGTTTCAGCTCATTTGGTAAAATCGTAACATCTGTGCCATAAAGTAGGTATTTGGGGGCATATCCAGTAACAGTGTGCTCCGTTTCATTATATTTTTGTACACAGTTGTGGGCTACAGTTGTCCATGCTAGTTTAGTTTCGCGTTCGTTAATCTTGCACCTGATTTTATTAACCAATGTCTGGTTTAATCTCTCGTTTAATCCATTTGAAAAAGCAGAGTTTACGGCTGTAAATATAATAGGAATATTTTTTTCATCCAAAAACTTTTTAAATTCATTAGAATTAATTCCTGGATATTGGTCTGATAGTATCAATTCAATGGCATCACTCTCTGTACAGTTTTTTAACAGTTTAATGAAATCATTCGCATTTTGAGTACTTGATGTTAAAATATATGCATATCTAGTGAAATGATCCAATAAAAGGTGTAAATACTTCTTTGTAGACCTGGAACCTCCGAAACCACCAATGGTGTCAATAGAGCATATCTGAAAAGGTCTTGTGGCAGGGCCCAAGTGGGACATCAACCCATATTTAATTTGTCCCCTTGATTTATTCTTTAAGCATACCGTACAGCTCTCACAGATTCTTTTTATGTTTTTGATCATATTATCTGCCGTATACACTGAGCTAATCATCCTCTGCATTTGTTTAATTCCTATATGACCCATATCTGTATGTACCCTTTTCATGAAATCTGTGCTAAATTCCTCTGATATAATAATTTTATCTTTATTCTTTACATTTTTATAATAAACATTGTCTTTCATCATTAACTTGTCTTTTCTGCATTGTATGTATTTATTTTCAACTTGATCTTTTAGGATGTCTTCTAGTGTTATTATATTTACTACTTTTAACTGCTCCTCTATGTTTTCATTCGGTCCAAGTACCGGGTTCCTACTTAGGCAGTCAGCTTCAATGTTATATCTTCCTGGTGAATATTTGATTTGGAAATCATATTGTGATAAATAATATGTTAGGTCTCCTAATTCTTCATCTGTTCTAGATCTTATGTTCATCTTCTCCAGCGGTTTGTGATCTGAGAATACAGTGAATTTCCGTCCTATTAACATATGTTGCCAATACTTTACACATTCTTTAATTGCCAGGCATTCAAGATAGATAGCTTTCTTCCTTTTTTGTACCTCATTAAGTTTTTTCGAAAAATATGCTACTGGCTTTTCTTCATTGTTTTTTTGTATTTGTTTTAGTACTGCTCCTACTCCCAATATGCTTGCATCCGTGTATATGTGAATAGGTAAATTTGGATTAAATATTGTCAATACTGGCTGAGAACATAATATTTTTTTCATTTCATCAAATGACTCTTGGCATGCATCAGTCCAGTTAAAGGTTTGACCTTTTCTCAATAGGTTATGAAGTGGTTCTAATTTTATGGCTATGTTTGGCACATACTTATGATAGAAGTTTATTTTTCCTAGGAATTGCCTCACATTTTTTTGAGTATTTGGAGTTGGAAAGTTTTTTATTGATATTAAATTATCTTTCAGTGGTCTGACTGAATTATTCTGTATTACATGACCTAAGTATTTAACGGTATCTGCTGCAAATGTGCATTTAGAAAATTTTAATTTTAATCCCTCGCTTTTAATCGCTTCAAATAGTTTTTCCAGATGTATGATGTGATCTGAGAAATTTTCAGAAAACAGTAAAATGTCATCAATGAAACATACCGTGAAATCTCCAAGCTTGTGTTTCCGTATTATATTACACATTATTCTCTGGAATATAGCCGGAGCGGTTTTTAAGCCAAATGGCAGACAGGTCCACTGATAATGACCCTCTTGAGTCACGAATGCAGTTTTATGTCTGTCTGTGATTCGCAAGGGTATTGACCAAAACGCTGAGTTTAGGTCCAGTGTTGAGAAAAATTTGCAATCTCTTGTTTTTATAATTAAATCTTCAATGAGAGGAAATGGTTGTGATTGAGGCACAACAATTTTATTTAGTTCTCGAAAATCGATGCACAGTCTTGATCGTTTATTTTCATCTCTTTTATAAGCTAATGTGACTGGTGCTGCGAATGGACTGTATGATTCTTCTATTATATTTTTTTCTAATAATTTTGCAATTTGTTCTTCAATCTCCTTCTTGTCTTCTATGGTGCACCGATATGGCCTTTTGAAGCAATATTTTTCTATTTGTAGATCAATGTGTGCTTCATAATCCGTTACCCGTCCTATGTCATATTTGTCCTTAGCAAACACAGATTTATTTTTCGAAATTAATTCATCAATCATTACCTGTTTTTGATAGTCTAGATGATTAATATATATTTTGAAGTCTTCTTGACGTATGTGTTCATTGAAGTTTATTATATTATCAGATTTTGTCTCCTTAGAAACTGTATCTGTTTTGTTTGTTTCCTTAGAAACTATTTGGCTTCTTTGTATAGGTAATTTCTGTGAAATTTTTAAGTTTTCGTTTTGAACTAGGCAAAACTCTTTTATAAAATTAAGTCCTACTAGAAAATCATAATCGAAATTTTCTTTGTCTATTACGAAAACCCTCATTTTTTTTTCTATATCAAAGATAGCCACATCAAGTGTTATAATGCCAATTGCCTTTTTAACGCCATTAATCGTTTTTAAGTTAGTATTGGTGGAAATATTGGGTTTCTCAGTATTTATTTTTAACAATCTTGAATTTATTAATGAGACATTAGACCCAGAGTCATAGATTCCATAAATTTCAACATTTTTATTCAGTACTAACTTCACTTTGATCAATGGCGGCACTATTAGTTTTTTTTATCTTCACACTGCAATTCACATTCCAGTTCTGAATTGTTTACAAGTCTTATTTGCTTTTTGTCTTTTTCATTATCTAGACTTTTTTTAAACCAGCATGAATCTTCTGAATGATAGCGTACACCTTTCTTCAGTTTTTCACAAATACCACAATTTTTCATATCTGGCTTAATATCTTCTTTCTTCTTGATCATTTTTTTTCTTGAAACTAAATGTTCTAATCTTCCAAGCTCACTAAATAAATTATTTGTATGTACCATTTCTTCTTTATTAATTCTATCAGTTATAAAATCTGGTAAGCCTGCAGCAATTATATCAATTAGAGTCCCTTCATCTATTGTTTTCCTTACCTCAAGTAAAAGTTTTTCTTTTTTTATTGCATACTCTAATAAAGATCCCGATTGGTACCTGTACGATAAAGCATACTTGCTAGCATTCCAACCTTTATTCGCATAGGTTAGTAAGAAACTTGATTTCCATTCAGACCACTCGGAGTGTAAGCTAAGTTTGATCATCATGGAAGAATACCAATCAGTGCATGACTTTTCAAGAAATAATCTCAATATTTCAATTTTTTCTTCTTCTTTTACTAAATTAAACCTTTCACATTCTTTTTCAAATACTTCCATCCACTGATGCGCACTTGAACTTTTTCCATTAAATTTCTCAATTACAAACTTGTCAGCCAACTTTTTCATACATTGCTTTTCTTTGTTTTGTTGACTTTCAACTAGTTTTTCCAAAATTTTCACTATAGGATCTTCAGAGCACTTTTTGTTACCAGTAGCCATTTGTTCTTGGGTAATTTCCTCTAAAAATTGGTCCTGAAAGATCATGTTTCCATCTTCATCAACATATGTTTGTAATATATCTTGTGTTGTCTTGATCCAAACACTTCTAGTTTGGTATCTTTTTTTTAATGTGTTTTTCACAGTAAAAAACGTTTTCGAAGATTGGATATGTTTGTGGAGTGACATCGCTTGACATTCTTCAGGTATAAGGAAAACTTTGTCCTCTTTTGTGGTAATTGCGGTTATTGCGATAAAGTTCGACTTACCGTCTATTGATTTTACTTCGAACGTAAATTTCAATTTCTCCATTTTGTGACAATAAATGTCGTTTTATAAGATATTTCTGGATTAGGACGACACAGTCAGTTAAACACAATTGAGTTTCTCTGTAAGAAAAGATTTATTGTTTATAAAATATGAAAATTTAACAAATATGTGTGATAACTTATTAAGTTTCAAACTATTACAAACCTGTAAGAAAAGAAACGACATTTAATGTTATTATTAACAATGCCAGTTCCTAATCACAATTACCTCTATAATACTTAATTAATGAAATTAATAACCAATTTATTGTTCTTCTCAACAAATACTAATTCTAGGATATTTTATTTAAATAGACAGATGACATATAAACGTCATCTGTTAGATCACATTCAAATAAAGAAATTTATATTATTTCTTTACATGTATATATTTTTTATAAATGGATATGATTGAAGCCGTCGGTAGAGGACGCCCTAGACGGACATATAGTAACCAGATTGACGATATGTTAAAGAAGGTCCAAATTAAAAGTACCCTCAACCGACGAGCATGCATGAAAAGATTGATGACTGTTGATGAAGCGAAAGAGGTATGTAGGAATCGTAGTAATTGGCGTACCCTAGTCTCTACCTACCTCCATGAGAGAATTTCACGCCTAGCAGGCGAGAAGTTATGTAAGTATAAAACTAGCAAACCCGGTGAACTCCGTTTTGCCACCAGATGGCTTCGTTTTATGTAACATTTCGTTTGGTGATTAAAAGTAAATTTTCTTTGCTATAAACCTCACGACACCCGAGACCTTTCCAACGAATGCAAAACTGTGGAAATCTGTTCGTGCGTTCTGGTGTTAGGAAGGAAAACCCGACTTATTTTTATATAGTAGATAATTATATTATTGACTGCACGGTTGGTGCGGTGGCTAGGCAACCGGCTGCCGTGCAACGTGTCGCGGGTTCGATTCCCGTACGGGACAACATTTTGTGTCATTCACAAATTGTTGTTCCGGGTCTAGGTGTCATGTGTAAGTGAACTTGTATGTTATTTTTTTTTGCTCTCCTCCACGGACTCGTGTCCGTGCCCTTGTCATGTTACAAGTACATAATTGTCATGGTCAAATATATTTTTTTTTTATATAAATATCTTACATGCTACGCCTACCACTATCACTACACACAATACTTTATTGTATGTTTGTAAACGCATCCATGACACAGGAGAAACTCCTAGTGTGGGGCAAAGTTTTTATATAAAAAAAAATGTTTAATTGGCCAGTTGTTTCCGTAATGACATGCATGTGTCCAGTCCAGTAATATGGCGTGTATACTCCCCAGAACATGGAGTGCGTGCTGCCGTCCCCGCTGGCGGTGTTCGAGCTGGTGATCACGCCCGACCTGGAGTACCCGCTCCTCTGTGTCGGCGCCACCAGGAAGCCCATGCGGCTCAACCTCATCAACATCAACTCCGGTACGGTACTGTTGCAAGGGGTACACATTACGGCACTTAATGCCACTGTACAATGTAACACCCACTTTTCACCATTTATGTTATGGGCCCTATGTAATAGGGGATGAGCCTATTGCCATATACCGGGCACAATGCCAGACTCCGTGCTACTAATGGGATTTTTTTCAAAAAACCCAGTAATATGTTCTTATAATAACTATCGTGAGACATACTAAATTTAATAAAATCGCGGGTATACTCACGTGAATATACTCACGAGAAAAGCTCTACTAGTTTCGAACCACAGAGGGGTTCTTCCTCACGAGCAGCGACCGCGCACGCTGTCTAGCCATTCAAGATTGTCTAGCAATAGTCTCAACAATGCGTGAAATGAATGATTATGGAAAATAAAACTTAAGTTTTTTTTAAAAATTACCCATATTCAGAACTATGTAAATGTAAGAATGACTTTCTGGCTGACACTACTTTTTGACACTTTATTAATGTATATCGTAATAATATTTACTAATATATAATTTTTAATATGAATTGTAATTACTATAAAATTCAATTTGAATGACCCTTTTTTTGAGGGGAGAAAATCATCGAATAACTTCTCCCACCCGGGTGAGACGAGAGGGAGTGTCAGACTCTTACTGACTAAAAAACACCCTGTTCCTACTCCTGAACTTCGAGCCGGAGCCCCGGCAACCCGTTAAGTCCTTCGCGGCCTAAGGCCCCTAAAGGCAAAACATGTATTGGACACTGATTTTAAACAATGAACATCTTGCATGGTTTTGTATGAATGACACATGTTTATGCAAATATTTTTTTTATGGCATAAGCCGGTAAACGAGCTGACGAATCACCTGATGGTTAGCAATTGGCGTCCCCCATGGACACCTGGAACACCAGAGGCGTTACAAGTGCGTTACCGGTCTTTTGGGGATTAGGAGTTTGAGAATCGTTGGGGATTCAGGGATTGCGGAGATTGGGGAAGGGGAGGGTAATTGGGCCTCCGGTAACTCACTCACACGACGAAACACAACGCAAGCATTGCTTCACGTCTGTTTTCTGTGAGGCCGTGGTATCACTTCGGTCGAGCCGGCCCATTCGTGCCGAAGCATGGCTCTCTCACACTTGGAAATAAATTATCTTTATACTTAAGCGCGACTTAAAATTGAATCGCGTTTCAATATATACTGTTTCTGGCAGTTATAAATATATCATACTAATGCTTGCATTATATCATACTCCATCCATTTGTCTGTTCCGGTCCTGTGTACAATATGTCCCGGTTCCAGGCGCGACGTGGTTCCACTCGGACGAGCTGGAGGCGTGCGTGGGCGGCTCCAACACGGTGATCCCCCGGCCCGAGCGACTGCACACACTACGCGCCGTGCATCAACTTAATAAGGACTCCGTTAGTATCAAAAAAAAATAAATAAAAAAACATACTTAAATACTTATATACTGTACAATGCCGCCTCTGTACAATGTAACACCCATTTTTCACTATTTATGTTATGAGTCCCATGTCCCAGTGACGGCGCCACTGGCGCAATACTCCAATATCGAAGAAAGTAGAAAGTGGTTGTAGTACTTCAATACTTTTTCAATAGATGGCGTTAATTTCCTATTTTCCGAATTAAGTATCATTAAAATAACGAAGTCTCTGTATGATGTCAGTGAATATTCATGTCGTGTTTATGAGTGACACTATGTATTTGACTATGTAGGTTTACCATGATTTTGTAGGGTATGCAGTGTTTATTAGCATTATGGTGTGCACGCCACTGCACCCATGTAGGAAGTATTACATACAACTGGTACAGTAAATTACATTGTTAGGACGCAGCAATTTAACTTAAGTACAGGTAGTATGAAAATAACTTATATAAATAACATTTTCAGGTACTAGTATGTCACGAGAATGTAGTGGACATAATCCCAGTGCTGCCCCCTAGCATAGAGAGTCGCTGGCGGCCAGACGAGGACAAACGGAGGAACAAACTGTTGGCGCGGATACAGTTCGACTTCAATATCGACAGTATATGTGAGTATTTGTACTCGGCAGGACGACTGACTAAATGTAGTTAGTTAAGTTAGATTAGGGTATGATGAGGCTGACATACCTTTGTAAGGGAAAAGCCTCTAAATAAATAAAGATAACAAAAAAAAAGGACGACTGACGGAGGAACAAACTGTTGGTATGTCCAAATAAAAAAATACAGTCAAAACCGCTTACAACGACATCGTTTATAACGACGAATCGGGTACAACGACGAAATTTTGAGGTCCAGTCTATTGTTAAACCATAAAGATATTGGTTATAACGATCATAATTAATCGGTCCCTTCGATGTCGTTATAAACGGTTTTGACTGTAACTGTTGAAGTTGAATTTCTGTCATTAAATAGGATTTCAAGAAATATAGGAAGATATTTTGAGAGACTAAGGAAGTAGGAAGTGATTCGCGGGGCGCCAGGGGGCGGCCGCGGTGGGGGGCGGGGTAGAGGGGTTGGCACGTGCGCCGCAGTAACGTTTGGCGGCATCTTCTGTCGCTGTCAAAGCTAGCAAAACTAGCGGCCGACCTCATAGGCTATTTAGCACAAAATAAAAAATGTACCTATTAATTTTTTTATTCAGATGTTGTGAATATTTTTTTGTATATGGTAGATTTTAATAGATTGTGATTCTTTTTTCTTTTTAAAAACGTTGCTCCACAATAGAGTTTTCTCCTGTGTCGTGAGTGCGTTTATAAACATCACATCACATACACATCACATCCAGACCCGGAACAACAATCTGTGGATCACACAAAGAGTGGTTTCGTGCGGGAATTGAACCCGCGACACGTTGCGCGGCAGCCAGTTGCCCAGCCAACCGTGCAGTCATTTTTTTTAGCAGCAGATTTCAGCCAATATTTTTTTTTAATTATAATTTCATTAATGTCGTGCTTGTAGATAAACTTATATGTCCCTGAAAGGAACAACAGGGTGTTTGTCACGTATTGTATAACAGCAGATGAGTTAGTAAGTAAATGTGTGTCCTCGCAGTGTGCCTGGCGGACTCTGTGCTGGCCTTCCACCGTCACGGCGTGCAGGGCCGCTCGCTGCGGAACGCGGACGTCACGCAGGAGATCACCGACCATAGCCGCGCATACAGGCTACTGCCGCATGATAAGTATGTACTAATATCTTTATTTATTGTTTAAATTGGTCTGCTGTTCCGTAAAATGGTTATTTTTTATATAATAAGCCGGTAAACAACCAAACGGATCATCTGATGGTAAGCAATCGGCGTCACCCATGGACACCTGGAACACCAAAGGTGTTACAAGTGCATTACAAGTGCGTTACTGGCCTTTCGGGAGATAATGGGGCCTCCAGCATCCTCAATGACACGATGAAACACAACGCTGTAGTTGTTTCACTATGGTTTTCTACTCGGCCGTAATATCACTCCGGTTGAGCCAGGCCGTTCATGCCGAGGCATTTTTGATTTTTACTTTGCAGGCAGGCAGGTTGATTTTTATTTCCCAATATTAAGATATCATGCCTTAAGACAGAGAATTGATCAATTCAACTTCATTTTCGTTGCCAGCCAAAGACACTACCGAAATTCTGTCATACAGGGCAACTGTTTACCATAACCTATTTTAAAACGGTATTGAATAAAATGTCGATGTCCGAATAAAAAGTTAAAACAGTATTGAAATTCTATTGTGTATTTGTCAAATCGATACATGTTATTTAATTTTTTATAATCAATAATTACCAGGTTACTCAAAGACTCAGCTTGACCATTTGGATTTAATTCTGAAAATACTTTAACTGTTTCAATTCTTTATCACATATTTAAACCTTAATCCTTTTCAATAAAGTCCAATGTCCATTAACTCGTCGAGTACCGGTTTTATAGACACAATTAAAGAACAATAGGTCGCGGTCACCGGTGACCGCTTGGTGTTTGACAGATTAATAAAGTAACGTAAGTAATGAGTATCTTTGAATAAGTCTTATAATGTTAATTTTATATTTTCCAGGGTGGTAGTCCTGGAATCACACGTTCTTCAAAACAACACGCTTTCCGGTGAAGACGGAAACGATCTCTACATACTAGCTGGCCACGAAGCCTCCTACTAAGGTACATCACTAGTAGTGCCACGGTATAGCACTATCTAGTGCCACTGTCCCAACACTAGCCGACTAAATAGTCGATAAATAAGGCTGTTTTATTTCCCACAAGAAATGTTCAACGTCAAACGCAATCTTTCGTTTTATTGTAAAATATTGTTTTTTAGTGAAGTTCTCTACATGTCGATAGAATCATATCGATAGTCGATATAGTGATGTGACTTTGAGGACGCTTTTTTGTCCTAGTTTTTAGCATTTCGTTTTGAACTCTTAAAACAGTTTCGTTTTGTATTTTAATAAAGTATTAATCAATTAAAAGATCACAAGTGTATGTATTCTTCCATTTTAAAGCAATAGGTTTATTTATACACAAGTGAGTTACCTTACAACGCTAAAACAGGCGATTAATCGGCAAAATTAATATCGATACTTTGTGTAAAACATCGATAAAGGAAGGTAACGCACGTCTCTAGTGACAGTATTCAAAACTTACTTTATTTATTATAGAATTAGACAAAATACTATGTTGTAGTGTTTAAAAGATAAGCCCTGTTGGTCTTTGGGGTTGATTCCCGATTTGGGCAAAGGATAATTATGATTTTTGGTATTTTCTCAATATTAATATTAACCCAATGGAACCATTTCAAGTCCATGTTATACTAATGTCACGATCAAAACAAACATATTATGTCTAATACTATAAAGAATTAAGTTCAAAATCGACAAATAATAAGTTAAGATACCTAGTATTCAAGTTCATGTTTCAAAATGTTAATAATCGATAAACTATAGTCGATTAGTTAACTAAATAAAGAACACCACTAGCCTTTTAAAAGATGGCGTACATTCTAAATTCAAACATTTCGGATAAGCAACGATTTTATAAAATTCATAATTAACGTGTTTTTTTTTTCGTAGAAATGGGATGATGGCATATTATTATATTTATAAAAAGAAAACATCTATTTAATATCGTCAGTTAGATAATGAAAAAAATATTGAACACATATTTTTTCTATATGAATTGAATTTGAATATGAGCGTTTAGCATGGCTTGAAACTAGTCGAGTTCGTTATACAGTTGCTTGACTAAGCCGAAAACAATAATAATTGATTTAGTATGTCTCACGAAGGTTATAATATAAATATATTTTTACTATATTAAAAAAGTATGTTTTGCCCTCATTAGAATTTTTTCATGTCGTGAACGTATCTTATACAAATATACACATGACATTAAGATTTGGAACTAAATTGTGTAAATTACACAAATATGTATATTATAATAATTATGTATAGTATGCAGGGATTGAACCAGCATTGTTATTGCATCTAAAAATTCATAATAATAGGAAAGATACGTGTCTAATATTTTTCATTAACTAACCCGACGGATTTTGAAGTCATCTTCCCTTTTGTGTTTAGTTATTTATTATATTTATCGATAATTAAGTTTATCGATAAATATTCCCCACATCACTGCCATTTTAATACTTCTATGTAGGTGGATTGTAACTCTTTGAAAATTTAATTTGAATATAACATTACATCTATACATTGTAGGCAAAGTTTTTATAACTAAACGACAAATTTTAACCACGAAAACATGCTTCAATTACGAACTGGTGTGTGTTTCGGTATGTTGCTCATAATTAGCATGCTCATTTCATGCATGGTAGCGCACCGACAAGATTTTTAACCATGTTAAAGTCAAATTCAAAGCATTTATTTAAATTAAACCATAATTTAGTACTTTTGAAACGTCAACAAATAAATAATAGTGTGTCTGTCCATCAGTAAAGCTAGGTGCTCGTTCCAAAATGTAGATTCGAATGAAGAAGAACGAGCAAGAAACTCCAATACTCTTTTTAGAACATAATTATTTTTAGTTTCAATATTCCAAAATAAAAGCAGCCTATATTACTCCTTAGTACATCAGCTACCTGCCAATAAAAGTTGCAAAATCGGTCCAGCCATTCCATAGATTAGCCAGTACAAACAAACATTCAGACAGACAAAAACTGTAAAAACTGTTATTTTGGTATGTGTATCGTATGTATATTCATATGCATGTAGTAAAAAGCGGTTATTTTAGTATAACAAACAGACACTTCAATTTTATTTATGGACTAGCTACGTCCGCGCGGTTTCACTTGCTCTGCTCAGCTCCTATTGGTCGTAGCGTGATGTTTTATAGCCTATAGCCATCCTCAATAAATGCACTATCCAACACAAAAAGAATTATTCAAATCAGACTTGTAGTTACGGAGATTAGCGCGTTCAAACAAACAAACTCTTCCGCTTTATATAATAGTATAAGATATTTATAGAGTTACAATACCTACATAAGAAGTATTTAGAATTAAATCATTCCTAAAACAAAAGCAATTAGTTTGATTAGCAAACGAAACATTATTCTTATTAACTTGGGTCAGAATATCAAGGGAAATTACTATGTTATTGTATATTAAACTTTATTAATATAAAGTTGAGGTTCAATTTGAGTTGAAGAGGGTTTTTTCTTATTAACTGGTAAGCTCCGAGGGCGTATGTGCGATTATCGTGAAGCTTTGAGTTCCATTCTCGTGTCGAACAGTGTTTGAGCTGCAGATTTTGAAATTTTTTAGTATTAGTTAAAGTCTGCAATGATTCAATGAATATTGAGCTTATTAGACGTGCAAATAAGATTTAATATACAATAATTGTATTAGTAAAATATATTTTACCTTGAATTCTACTTACCCAAGAACATATTTGTGATTTGTCCATCTCTTTCCCACTTAATCTCTTCTTTACAATGTGTTTGAATGTCTTTAAAGCATAGAGTTATAGTCTTTGAACGGAAGTGTGTGAAAGGGACAACAATATCTTTCACTTAACTAAAAAAATGTCGATTATTAAATTTTTCACTGTATCCTGTGAAAAATTTATTTATTTTAATATGGCAACTGTAATAGTGTGGCCAATAACAAAAATATAAACGATAAATACGCGAAATAACTTCTAATATCTAACAGTTGAACGCTGTGATTGCATTATTTAGGTATTTTAACTCAAACGTGTATAAAATATTAAAGTATTCAATGCTCTAAGTAAGATTTTGAATCGCTTAAATATCGATACTTCAAAGTCTCACTCAGCACATCACTAATTACGGTTAATCTTTAAATCTTGTGATGGGGACATCTCTAGCTCCCTTATACATAACGAAAATACATATTAACAAGATCTTTTACTCATTATATTTTAAATATAAATAAATAGAAATTTATTTATTCAATATTTTTTAATTTTAATATCGATATCACACGAGTGATAATAACATAACGAAAAAAATATATAAAAGACAATTTTTCATTTTAATAGAAATTTGTAGAACGAAAGAAAACGCTTCTGTAATATTTGTTTTTCATTTTATTTTTTGTAAATATAAAAATAATATTATTCCAATTAGTTTTTAGTGAATCTGTATAATATCGTTAGTCATAATTATTATTATTGTAATTATTTTTTTTTGTAATGGCAATTTTGACAGTTATTTTTTTCGCTGGTAACACCGTTAACCAAGAAATTATATGGATTTAATTGTGATTTGGATTTGGTGAAGAACGGACGTCTGAGCTTGCTGTGTATAAAGATCTTGCTATATTTTACGACCATGACATAGATAAATACAACCAAAATATATTTTACAGTATAATAAAAATAATATTCTTATTATAGACCATCAATTGGGTAATAAAGAAATATTAAACACGTATTTCTTGTTTAAAACTTAATTTTTGTACTATGAAATATATTTTTGGTCGTAGCAATCAAGCTGTGATAGCGAGATTACACGAAACTTCAGTTTAATTTATTTATTTCATATTTTCAGTGGACTGAAACACTTTTATTTTATGGAATTGGCGTACTATCCATAGACATAGTTTTACAAAAATGTTTATTATGTACAAAATATTCAGTACTGTGCCACTTTGTTAGACACGACAGCTATTAATCGAAATTTTCTTGAAAGTAATGGCTAGAACAATACATTGTCTTTAAGTATCTCAATATAGTTACAATAAAAAATAAATTTTTGTAAAACAATGTCTAATGGCAACGGTTACAATATCCATATTATATTCTCATTGAAATTGAAATATTCGAGATTTGTCAATAATTTTCTGTTCAGTGTCAACTACAACACAGCTTATACAAGAGCTTATTAAAAAACTGTGTTATAACTATCTCTTTCTAACAAACAGGGCTTGAAAAGGACAGCGATATGTTTAGTTAATTTTTTTGCTCATTTGGCGCCCAGTAAAAATTTTTTTTAGAAATCTCAATGAATTGTCTCTTAATTTGATTTTGAAGTCAGATTTTTTTTCATGGTTGTGTTTTTTTTTCGTTTTTCAATAGTTTCCGACTGATGTCTTAGGGTTGGTCTTTACATCAGTAATATTTTTTGCCTTACCGCCTTTATTGATAGTTGTCGACCAAAAGATCTCAAAATTCGAGCAAAACAGGTTTTGAGATTTTTTTAATTTTTATTACTCAGTACATTATAGCATGAAGTCTTATTTTCCTTAAATTAAATATCTATTTTTTTTATTCAAAATATAAATGTTATGAAGTAAAAACCTTGTAATTTACTGAAATAAAGCACACATAGTCAATTTTATTTACGTTTTGTTGTATGATTCTATGACCAATATCTTAGTTGTATTTAAAAATGTCGGTAACAAATGCTTATTTTTATTAAATAACCCAAGTTGTATAGATCAAAAATATTTTCTTATTTTGTAAAAAAACTCGCTGTCCGCTCGTTGAAACAAAACGCAGTATGTGTAGCTTTTTTAAAAACCTTTTTATTTATATACCTTCCAATAAAAATTATTTCGTACATTTTTTTCTTTTTATTTTTTTCTCCCCATTTATTTTACCCTGATTTTTTTACTTGACAACCAAGACTTAAGTTTTTTTTTTTAGTTTATTAGTCACACAGATTATAAAGGTTTCATAATTATGTTGTATATAGTGTATTTTTCAGTGATTTCAGTGAATTGTGAATTTAAAATACTAGATATTTACGGAGGATCATGGTTTCTGATGTATTTACTAAATGTTCGCATTAATTGTTGACGGGTTGATGCAATAGTTATAGATGTATGTAAAATTAGGTAACATATTGTAAGGTATTGCTTCTATGCCCCACTTAATGTTATATTTGTAGGATATTGGGTGTAGCCAGACATGAAAGAAATTGAAATACATTAATTAACTTGGAAAGATATGTTCTCCAAGGAGTAAGGAAGTAATTCAACATGGGGAAATAACTGAGGGTTTTCTATTTTGTAGCTAGATGACGTTACTGAAGCGTAAGGTTCAATCAGCCTCGATTCTATAGGGTAATGGGCCTTAAGCTACACTAGCGCCTCTAGAAATGCAGACTCCATAAGCATAAAATCGATTAGCCAACCAAACAAATTGTTTTTCTTTTATTTTGAACTAAATAAAATCTGAAATTGTCCCACAATTTACAAAATGGAATTGTTAAACTTGGCTACGCCCATAGAACTTGCTAACAGCTTCCTTGATTGGTCGCGGTGTATTTATGTACACCTAGTTTTGTTTTGTCAACGTATGTGCATCGTGCAGTGACGAATTAAAATTCTAGCTTCGTCTATCCCTGTCAATCTATTCTCATACAATCATATTAACTAGTTTATTACAATCTCTATATCTAAACAAGGACTATAAATTATTTTTTATTGTTGAAATATTCAATGGTAACTAAAAAGCCGGTAAGCGAAATTCCCGAAAGAAAAAAAAACTAAAGTGCGCGTAAAATATTCATTTTGAAAGTGGAATCAAGTGAAGCTTTTCGCGCCATTTAATAAAAATGACAAAACATTTTTTTATTCATTCATAATTAGTTACATACGAAATCAAATAATAAACTAATTAATATGATTGTTTAATAATACGGAGAATGCCAAAACATTTGGCAGTTGGACTGAGAATGGCTGTAATATGAAAAACGGTAGCATTAAAGTATCGATCATATTTTATAGTCCCGTTTAGTATTTAGACGTAATTGTAGGTATATTTCGATACGTTAGAATTAAAAGGAAAACTAGAACACCAGTACTGAAGTTAATACGCTTTTTTATTTGTTGGTTGCATTTGAGATCAAAATAAAAAATTAGTAAGTACATACCTTTGGTGACTCAGTTGCCATTTAAGATGAAAAAAAGTGTGATGTATCTACCAAAACGTAGCTTGTTCTTCAACCATAACCTATTGAATAAAACTTCTTAGTGATTCATAAGTTTTCATTTCCATGCACACACAAATATCTGCATTAGAAGTTATTGTTTTTTTGTAATGTGCGTGTGACCAACAAATAAAACCTAGTTATATTGATGATAATAATTACCTGCTCTTTAGAATTTAACAAAATAAATATATTACTATTATTAAACAAAGTCTGGCATTAAAAGTCTATTAAAACAATAATTATAAAATTGTAGACATTTAAATTAGCATTAAATGCTCTTGGATATTACGTTTTTAATCTGTGTATGGAACTTAGAGCTGCATATTTTCAAATATTAGTTTGTGCTAAAATTCTAGATGTGGTTAGTATTTATTTGGCTATCTTCTGTCTTTTGATCTCAGTGCAGGGAATGAAGATTAACTTCTAGCAGAGAGATTGAAAACCAAGCAATAATTATTTACTAATTTACTATTATAGAACCTGCAGTGGGATCATTCCTTAAAAAAGCTAATTTGTCAAAATTGAATCATAATTTTGAGAGATTGCTATATTTTGGAAATCGGATAATTTAGTTACTTAGCTTTGCTTCCTTGTAGTATCTATATACTAGCTCGTACAAAACTAATGACAATTTATTTAGGATATAAGATCTTTCCATTTTTTCTCCAAATAAAATTCATAGTATTAATAAAAATTAAAGTTAAAAAAAAAGAATTATAACCAGAGATAAAAATTATAAATTAGATTATAATAGCATTTGAAATGATAAATTAGATATATATGGATATTTATTTTCGTTATATCAGATGGTAGGTAGGGTGGGCTGCAGAGATTGTATATAAGCCATAGGTAGCGGTAGTGTCCTGAGGTGTAAAATGTCGGTTCAATGTTATTTCAAGATTGTTTCTGAACAAATTTTATTCCTGAATAAAGTGATGAACAAAAATTGTTGTTTTTATTTCTACAAAACCCATGTCTAGTTCTCTTATAAAAAATGTTAAGACAATTTTATTAAGGAAATATTTAACATTTTATTGCTATAAATACAAAATAATGTTTTAGATCAGTCCCAGTTCAATAAGTACTTGTTGAATCTTAGGCACTATAGAATAGCACTTAGATTAATTTTAACCTATTTGATGTTTATTGATTAACTCGTCGAGTACCGGTTTTATAGACACAATTAAAGAACAATAGGTCGCGGTCACCGGTGACCGCTTAGTGTTTGACAGATTAACTAATAGAGTAGTATATCTTGTGCATCTATAATGTAACATTTTATTTATTTATTTATCATTTATGTACACACAATCAACACACAGGACAATGTAAGTATAAAACCAGAGTACATAGGCCCCACATATTCCAATTGGAATTTCTTCCTGTTCCAATTTCACTCTTAAAAAGATCCATAACTTCCGTTATGCTTTTAAAATAAAAGTCAACGTTTCTTAAATTCCTTGAAAGGAAGTTACTCTATGGAGGAAGCTATTGACTCTACACAGACTACAAGATACAAAATTATACTTGCACTATTCAAAAGTACCTAAATATATAGTTCTTTTAAGGGGGGAAAATCAACAAATGGATTGTCCCGCCTGGGTGAGGCAGGAGGGAGTGTAAGACTCTTACTGACTAAAAACCACCCCGTTCCTACCCCTGCCCTTCGAGCCAGAGCCCCGGTAGCCTGTTAAGTCCTCCGCGGCTCCGTATCGGCATTAGCCCTATTGAGCCCCATCCGTGGTGGTCTGATGGCTCTGAGGCGCGCGCGGAACGGGACGGTCTAGTTCTGGTAGGGCGGCGAGGCCGTGCAAATGTATTATGTCGACTGGAGCTTCCAATTGACCACTTTTAGGTTAAGTATAGAAACAAGTGGTCGTTAAAACACGATTTATTAACAAAATTACTTAAATACACTTAACACTATTGAGTCAAAATATCACATCAGTCATCCTCTATCATTTCCACCTCCTCTCCTTCATCCTTCTTCTTGCCACCACCAGATTTCCGCGCGGACACCATCTGTTTGTATTGTTCTAAAGCTTCGCCGAGCGGCTCAACAAATCTGTCGAATTCTATATCCCTCATAGCGTCTAACACATCCTGACCCGTCAAAGCCTTCCTTTTCTTATTTTTGACTATATTTGTAGCTGCAGAAGTCACGTAAAGCACAAAAACTGATGCGGCTTTTGCGAGACCGGTTCGCGCCTCCTTTGATATTGAAACGCCCTCTGGTAGTGCTTCTTTCACTATTCTCGTCACAACAGTCATCGGGAGATTCAGGTCCTCGAGTTTTTCAGCCATGATTTCTTAATTTTATTTGTTTATTTGCTCGAAACATGAAATACTCTCTAACCGCCAAAATTCACGCGCAAAGAATGTCAATTTGACACGATCGGTTCACATGACATTGACAATTCAGTGTCAGTGTTACCAGAATCCCAGAAATGAATAGAATAGAAATCGTCAAAAAGACAATTAATTTTGTATTTCTTTGTAATAATCCAAATAATCATTATTATTTATATTTAATTAATACATGAATCTACTAATAACTTTCTTTAAACAAAATATCGTATTAGATATTCAAGACACAACATTGCCTGTTTTCATAACTGAGACAAATTGTTAAATTTAATATTGCCTATACATTTTTTCAAGGCGCCAGTTACGCTTGCTTACATCTTATCAGATTACTGAAGTGATTCAATATAATTTAAGAATAAAATGATTAGATAATAATCTAGACCGTTAAAGATAGTAAACAATAAGATTTTTATCAACTTCATGTCGCTTAAAAGGGATTTTATGTGTTGTTACAATGAACCAGTTGAGATGTAGGTACTTGATAATTTGGGCTATATTTTTAATAATATCAGTAGGGATTAAGTAGATACTAACTAAGGTGATTTACAAACGAATTAAGCACCTATTCATTACAGAGAAAAAGCCTCTAACACGTTTAGGAATAAAACATGGTAAATATTGTGTCTTCGAAAATTATAAAGTTATCATACACGAGTGAAGGTAAATCACGAAGGAAGCACTTAAGTATAATATAAGTAACACGAGGGTAAAAAATAAAGAAGCAAGCAGTGAATTTAAATCCTTTACAAAGCTCCTGTTGTATGCAATGAATGAATGCTCTGAATGACCGAATAGGGTCACTCTGAAAAGAAGTGTGTCGTCGTCCTTGTAAGTATCATTGTATAGTATAAAGTTTAGTACGGTGCTGTGCTGTCAGCCCCATATACGTAATGCAGCTGTGCTTTAAGTTATATTTAAACTCGATCACATTTGATAATCTTCTCCTATTAATACCTATGTTTTGTGAGAATGTTTTTTATGCACAAAAAACTGCCGAGTTAGTCAACAATTAGTTAATTTCGCACAGAGATGGACTATAGAGTCACTTTTTATCCCGGTGACCCTTTATAAATTAGTAGATTCTTTACGAAATTTTACTTTTATACCCAATTTATTGGTACCTACCTATTCATTTTTGAAATGTTTAAAGAATAATTATAAGCGTAATGAACTTGCATGACTCCAAGGAAGTTTCTTTCTAAAGTCTTAAAGTATGATGATCGTACGTTTCGCTTCATTATAAAAAAATTGACAGACGAGACGATAGATGAGTACCTACCGGTATTATGTCAACCGATTACGTAAACTATAGTTACCTACCGACATTTACAACTTAATTAACTGCGGAATATTAAAATAAACAATATCTAATGTCAATTGATAACCATTACAAGAATAAGAAATTAGCCGCAATCTTTTCCACTAATAGGTCATTGACCCTAAAATGCCGCAACATAACAAAGAAGAATATTATGTAAATATTGATTTTCACGCACCCCTACAACCATTTGACGGGACTAAAAGGTTGTTAGCGACCATTTAACACATTAATAATACTCTACTTAATAAGATTATAGGATTTTTTAATTAGATTAAGATGTTTTTGCTACGCAATAGGTAAGTTGAAGCAAGTACACATTGCGCAAACTCAAATAAGTACGCCATTTTGTAAGTTTGTGTGTTAGTAGAGTCTGTCAGTGCGGCACCGGCATTGCTTGGATGGGGACGTTCACGCGCGCTTTTTTATCGATTTCCTCGCAAAGTGTATGACACAGTGTTATTTTGATGTTTTTTCACCGAAAACGTGACAAATAATACAATGTCACGTCACTAAACAGTTCAAAGTTTACGTGTTTTCGTGGTTTCGTTTTATTTTAAAATTTAAATTCAAATTTTGTGCTTGACTGAAAACATTGCTGTTATGTGCGATGATAATGGAATTGTTATTGGAATTAAAATGAGGTGAGATTAATGTTTTATTCATTGCTTTTCTTTAATTTAATCGATAGTTTACATTCCTTAGCTGGTATCGATAATCTCTGGGTCATTTGGTAATGTCATCCCTAAAATGTTTGGGTTTTATTTTTTTTCTTTAGTTTATTTGCGACAGATTATTTATTTAACTTATTTCTTAATGTTTGTATTTGAATTTTTACAATAGTAAAATTACTTGCATTTCAGTAATTAATTAATAGTCGAATTATTATATCCATATGTACCAGTATTTAATTATGTTTGAAATAAAAAAAATCTTCCCATTTCCTGTTAAAATTTTGTCAATATGCGACTGACCCAGTAACTGAACATTTTTGCAAATGAAAGTTGTCGAAAAAACTTTTTTAACCATCAAGTTATTCGCATGCATTTAAAATTATTAAGTAATTTTAAATATTATGAAATTAATATCTTTCGATATTTAAATAATTAGTGATAATACAATCATAGACTAACACTTCTCGGTGGTTTTACTTTTATCCGCGTGGTTGGTCGTAAGCGGCACGCGGCATTGTCGTGTCGTAGGGTGATAGGTAAAGCAACTTAGATTCCGGGGTTATAATTTTTTTGAATACAGAACTCTTCATTGACATTGCTGCAGATAATCTCGATGGAATTTGAAGATTTTAAAGAGATGTAATGTGTGCTCCTTTGTATACCTACATTTAAATCTATTTTTGGCATTAGTTGCATTGTATATAGGTATTTCTGTTTATAACCTGGACGTATCCAGAGATTTTGGATAATCATTGGTTATTTAATTTCAGCAGTTAGAGAATGAAAGGTCATGGTGCAAAAAAATTCCTTGTACCAAGTACCATGGTACTCTTTTGTTATTATTAGCTTAGGCTATAGATATTTAATATCTTTCTGTATGATAATAGACCGACAATGCAATTCTCATTATCTTAGAATATTGATTTCGAAAGTCCATTATAAAGAAATAAATTAAAACAGTTTCTGTTTATCAGTATTTTTACGAGTTTCATTTTACATGGATTGATTTTAATTTTATTCAAGAATAAGTTATTATTAACTCCTATGATTTGCCAAAAGGAGGGGATTCGAAACTTGTTTCGCCATTGAAAAGATTACTTTGGAGTAACATCGTTAATATAGTCTAGCGTTTGTCCCGATTCTGCTCCAGTTTAAAAACCTCCTCAATCTCCCCAATCCCTGAAGCCAATTCTCGAATTCTTAACTCCCAAAAGGCCGGCAATGCATTTAAAATGCTGGTCCATTGGCGGTGCCGATTGATTACCATCAGGTGATGCGAATGTCGGGGTGGCCTGGAGGTATAAGATGCCCCGCACCTCACGCATGAGGGTGCATATTCGAAACCTACCAACGACAAGTATCAATGTGACTTTTTCCGAGTTATATGTATGTACTTTCTAAGATTATTTAGACACCACTGAAGGAAACCTGGGCTTATAATTTTGAATTATAAGTTTGTAATCACCAACCCGCATTGAGCAAACGTGGTGATTAATGCTCAAACCTTCTCCGTGGGAGAAGAGGCTTTGCACAGCAGTGGGAATTTATAGGCTGTTGATGAAGTGATTTGCGTTTGCGCCTAAAAAACCTACTATCTAGCGCGAAACTTTTAAAAATTTCATGTGGGTGAATCAAACACTGGGTGCAGGCAGAGTCGAGTCTATAGTTATGTAGTTGCTATACGGATAGTATTTTACGTTTGTTTATTGATACACAATCTATGAAGTGACTACTGCACGGGCAGACGTAATCACGTAACAGCTATTCCAAGGTCATTTTTAACAACGCTGTTTGAAATCTATAATTAACATTATCTGCAGGAGAACTAATTGAATTAAATACATAGACGTTACAGCAGCATGTTGATAAATCTGAACCTTTTAGACTGTCATTTCCAGCCTGCCAAGCGTGGATGGCAACCTTTTTATGCAGAGAAGTCAAAGACAAAGGCAAAGTAAAAATCATTTATTTCAATTAGACCAGGACGCTTTTGAATGTCAACAACAAAAATTTAGAAGTGAAGCTAGTTGCTCATTACAAGAAGAAGATTCCTATGGAGTAGAAATCTAGAGAAGAGTAGGTCCATAGTCCGAATATAATGGACTATAACAGGCCGTACATGTTGAAGTTCAAAGTCATAAGAGTAAAAAAAAAATACAGAATGCAATGACAATCTTTTTTGGCCTTTCATAGTGGAAATGTCAGTTCAGTCATATCGGGGACAAGGTTTCGAGTTCTGAATAGGGCAAGTGTTTTTGATATTGGTATGATATTTTTCTTTAAAAAATGTGTCTTATAAATCTATATCTGCAATATTAAAGAAAGATCAACAATCTGTCTATTTCTATTTGAATAAAAAAATAAGCTTAATAAAAACTCTTGAGTACTACAAAGTAGTCACCTAAAAACCACAAAGCAAACCAAAAAATAATTCATTTTTTAAACACAACGTTTTTTAGACAAATTTAAAATGGCGGGTCACGTAGCCACGACTCCTAAATTAATGTTGCCAGTGACAAAAAATACTACAAACTACAAATGAGTAGTGATTTAAAGCTATTATAAAATTACTTTGCGTTATTAGGTATTTCTAGGCATAAAGTACCTACAATCGCGTGCTTGGAATTTGGCTACAATCATAAAACACGAACGTAAAAGAAAAACTACGATTTTGACGCGGTTTTAGCCGCAGTTTTATACTTAGAACAATTTTTTATTGTAGGTACATACTTTTTCTCAGTAAAACATTTCATGTTTAATTTAAAATAAAGTAATGATTGTAATAAGTAGTTAATACTATTTAAATTTCGTTTCTTTCGCTGCATCCATCTTTCTTATGCTTTTGATTTTCCTAATAGAAAATGAATATAGGAAAATAAGAGAAAAGTAATTTTAGATTAGACTGCAATTTTGATACAAAAATCTCAGAGGATAACAATTCTAAC